ATTTAGAAGAATGATGGAATACAGTGTTACTTGCTGAATCTTTCAGCTTTTAATCTTTCTTTATCAGTATTATGTGGTTACTCAAGTGTATGTATATACACACACACACACACACACACACATATATATATAGTATAACATAAAAAGATCATAGAACCATATAATGTCCCAGTTTGGATAGGACCCACAAGGATCATTGAGTCCAACCCTAAACCCAGCACAGGTCACCTCAAGAGTCACACCATGTGGCTGAGAGCATTGGCCAAATGCTTCTTGAACTCTTACCAGGCTTCGTACTGTGACCGCTTCCCTGGGGGGAGCCTGTTCCAGTGCCCAACTACCCTCTGCGTGAAGAAGCTTTTTCTAATATCCAGCATAAACCTCCCCTGACACAGCCTTATGCTGTTCCTGTGAGTTGTCACCAGAGAGAAGAGATCAGTGCCTGCCCCTTCGCTTCCCCTCGTGAAGATGTTGAAGACCACTGTGGGATGATGGATAGAGTTAAACCTAGAGGGGATTCAGAATTTTAGGGTAAAAAGCAGCTGCAGCTCCCTGGATGGACTGAGGTTGACATGCTCCCCAATACAATGATACACATCTGCTCGGAGAAACAGAACAGAGTATGGAACAAAGTGGAGACTACATGGCCCCCCTCCATTTTAATCCCAGCAGAATGGGAGAACATTGTGGTACTGAGACTGTACAGTACCTGTCTGACAAGGGAAAATCAAGATGCTCTGCTGCTGAAGCCAACAACCTTGTCAAAACCCCTCCTCAGGTGCCAAGCCATGACCATCACCCCCCTGCCCCTACTAGGTACACCAATCAGAAATAGAAGGTATTTATGACTAGAGCCACTCAAACTCCACCCAAACATAAAGAAAATAGTATAAAAGTAAGTTGGAGATAGGGGGAAAGTGGGAGAAGACATCCACCAAAACTGCTGGGATCAGTCGATGGGCTGAGTCCACCTTCTCTCCCCCCACAGAGAAGCGCCTTGGATGAGAAATATACTCTACACACATTGAATGCTGCTTTTAGGACTAGAACTTTTGCTTATGCTTACCATGTAGTATATTAGTAGAGTGCTTCGTATCAGAGCTTGTGCTTGCTTAGTATATGTATCAGTAGATTGCTTTAAAACATATTTTTGCCATAGACTATCACTGACAACCTTCAAACTTTATTAATCTGTCACAATTTGTATTAATAAAAAGTGTGATTACGTAAACTGTTAAAGTGAGTCCTTGCAGTTGCTGGCAGTAGATAACACCTGCTGAGGGGTCTTCTCTCTGTTGAGTCCCCCCTGAAAGGGTGGTTGAAGTACCCTCCGACCTTGAGGATTTGTTGGTGAAGGGTCTCATCACGAGATGCTGTCAAACTGTTTGACACCAGGGTCTTGACTCTCCTGGGGTACCGACAGTCAAAAATCTAAACTCTCACCTTTCACCTGACAACCAGGATGAGGTGTCTCCGTAGTCTCCTCTTCTCCAGACTGAACAGACCAAGTGACCTCAGCTGCTCCTCCTATAGATTCTCTTCTAGACCCTTCACCATCTTTATTGCCCTCCTTTGGATGCTCTCTTAGAGCTTAATATCTTTCTTATATTACAGTGCCCAAAACTGCACACAGTATTCAAGGTGAGGCTGCCCCAGTGCAAAGCAGAGCGGGACAATCCCCTGACTTGACCGGCTGGCGATGCTTTGCCTGATGCCCCCTAGGACACGGTTGACCCTCCTGGTTTCCAGGGCACTGCTCGCTCAAATTGAACTTGCCATCAGCCAGGACTCTCAGATCTCTTTCTGTGGCACTGCTTTCCAGCATCTCATTCCCTAATCTGTCCGTACCTCCAGGGTTACCCCATCTCAGGGGAAGAATCCAGCACTTGCTCTTCTAAAACTTCACACAGTTCATCATTGCCCAGTCCTCTAATATGTCAAGGTCTCTCTGCAGGGCCTCTCTGCCTTTAAAGGAGTCAACAACTCCTTTCAACTTAGTTCCATCAGCAAACTTACTTTTGAAAGATCATAAAATATTTTATCTTAACCTTTAATAGAATGGAATTATGCTACTTTTAGGTAGTATGTTGGTTAGCATAGTGACTATATCTTCGCTGCCTCCAAAACTTTTAGTGCACTGTGAAGTTTTTAACAGTTGATAAAAATATGCAGTAGATTCAGTTATTTCAAAAAGTGAAAGTAGATTCTTTTATGATGTTTATTTGCATTTCCCCCCCTCACAATTGGAATAGAAAGATTTGAGTAAAAGGAGCTTTCTTTAGCAGTTTTCAACTATTTACCCTTTCAGTATTTGCATTTTCACTCAGGGCTCTTTTTCACTAAACATCCATGACTTTACTGGAAACAGATACATCTGCAATTGTTCTACATGACTGAAAATTAGGAGCTTTAAGTGTGTTTTATAAAACTAGATGGAATCTAAACCCACTGAAAATAAATCATGTGCTTCTTTTTTTTGTACTGTTCTATTCATAGATTTAGATTTGATGCAGTTCATGATATGGACAGAGTGTAACTGATATATGGAACTGCTTTCCTCATATCTTGAAGATTCACTTCTGTTCACTAACACAGCTTATGTCCTGGTAACATCCCTGGATGACTCATTTAGTTGTGAGGCCAAATATTAGTTTAGATCAGACTTCTCACCCAGGCAGCTAATTAAGCAGAAAATGGCACAAGTCATGTTGCTTAGATGATGCTCAGAATGGATCCCAGAGGAGCTGAAATGGATGGTCTCAGGTGGCAGCAGTTAGACTAACTTCGATGGCGTCATTGAGTTCTTAGAACACAGAGATGGTACATGACCTTTTTCTAGCCAAAGTAGCACGACTATCTGCAACAGAGCATAACTCATCAGTGGCTGAAAGGAAATAAAGCATGCCTACAGGACCAAATTTTGCAAAGAAAAGCTGTAATTGCATCTGGAAATTTGTTTACATTAATGATAACTGTTATCTGCTGTATATTGCTTTGATTATGATTAATTAATGAGATTATAGTTCATTTATTAAGTGTTTATGCCTGCTTAAAGTAGGATTGGAGTCCCAATTGGCATTCTTAGTATTCACATCCAATATAAGAGAGACTTAACTTGACTATTAATGTTTCAGTAATGGATTGGATTGTTACATGCATATAGTCAGTTTGATAAATCCATGTATTTTTACCCTAACTGTTCAAAAAAAAAAAAGACTGAAATTCATAATTCACAGAAAAAGATTAACTGAACATTATTCATAAAAGGTTTTGAGAATTTTAATTTGGTAAACATGTATAAATATTTGTATACTTAGGTCTTTAATAGATCAAAATGATGCAATGTATTGCATTAATGAAAACTGTAAAAAGATAGAAGCCTAAATCCTCTGGTCTGTGAATCAGAAGGAAGACCACAGAAATCAGTGAAGTTTTATAAAAGAGTGTAACTGATTTAGATGGAAATTGGCTTTGGTATTTCTTTTAACTGTTCTGAGTAGATCTGCAGTTCTTTGGAGGAACAGGAAGGATTAGCATGAAAATGATGAATACAAAATTTTCTATTTTTTTTTTACAGCATTATACTAGGGTTTCCAAATATATCTACATCAGTATCTATATTTTAAAATACCTAAGTCAGTAGAAGGAAGAGTAGCTATTGAGTATCTTTTTAATGAAGTTCTCCCCTTTGGGAAGGCTTTTGTACTGCTTTCTGAAAGGTCTCATTGTCATTGCTCAAAGTTGTTGGTGGCTCTGATTGTAAAGATAAATGTCAGAAATCCAAAGGTTAGCAGGATAATATTAGAGATTAGTTTAAGAAAGAAATCAATTAGATATTATGATGAATTATTTGTGAAGCCAGGCTATGAGGACAAATTCTTACATTAAAATTCACTCTTGCTGAATTCAAGAGTGCCATTTAAGACGTTGTTGAAAGACTTCATTTATTCTGTAATTAAAGACTGAGATGGGGCGAAGCAATGCATAGCCAAAAAAGCACCAGCAATATATCTTCCAGTTCTGTTAAATACTGATTTTAAGTGAAAGCAGAGTGAAGAAATAAGAAGAAAGAAGAGATACTAAAGAAATTAAATGGAAAAGAGAGGGAGAAAAAGTAGACTGCTTTTAACTGGTATGTATTAAGTTAAGCTTTCATTTAAATCAGTAACAGTTTTCTTGAGAAAAAACTGCTGCCATGTGATGTTCATGATGTGCTGATTTGTCGTGATTATTCTGACATGACTTTTTTTTATTCCATGGAGACATTATAGTATGAATAGTATTACATAGATATTAGAGCTGCATGTACAGTGGCTCCCCACAAATGAGTTTGCAGATAAAATGATTTAATTAGTATTAAAAATACTCAGGATTCAGAGTCTCTTATGGAAGTTTAGGAACTCATGTAGTAAATGGGACACAATAATTTGTCTTAAACATTGTTCAGGATTGTCTGTTTCAGGAGAAGAAGAGAAGGGTGTTAAGTTGCAAGAAGGCTTTTTCTTTATCCCAGGGATTGTTGACTCTTCTGAATAAAGAGGGTTTAATGAAATTAATTTAATTTTTCCCTAATGTAACTGTATATCTCATAATCTTGCTATTCAGAGCCTGTTGTATTGATGAGTTTTGACACATATTCATTCATTCAGAAAGTTCTGCTCATGGAACACCTCTAACATAACAAAAGCTTTTCATTTTTAATGACTGCATTTAATTTGGCGTGGTCATTTGGAGCCAAAAGGTTTAGTACTAAGTTATACTTGTACTAAGTTGTCTTTACATTAGAAGGCAAAGTGGAGGGAAGTAGGATCTGTAAACATAACTTGGTCTCAACACGAGGTTTCCTCTGAAATTACTTTGGCAAGTGTCAAATAAAATTAAGAAACCACACCAAGACAATATACATGGAATAAAATGTGGACATAGGTGGTAGTTTAAAAACAAATCAGAAATATTAGAAACATTTGTGTATGAGTTTCCCTTTCCTCTCCTTCTTACAGGAAGACCGGGTAGTGAACCATTTGGCAGCAAAGATAATTGAAAATGTTTGCACTACTCGTGCATGCCATGCACAAGGATTTATTACAGGAGAAATTGGACCTGTCTTGTGGTACCTTTTCACACATTCTGCAGTAGATTCTTTGAAGATAACTGCTGTTTCGGTAAGGAATTTCCTTCTGTGACATAGAAATGTTTTGGCATTGAAAAACATTCTGAATTGACACTGAAACATGTTTGAGCATGTTTGCTGTGTGTGTGTGTATTTATATTTCAGACTACATTAAAATATGTTTTAAAAATTTCTGAAGCTGAAAAGTGCACGCATTACAGTTCCATGCTTATGAAAAGTCCTTGTGATTCATCATTTTCTGGAACATGTATTTTCTTATGCTGGTGATCATGAAGTATGTTTGAAAAGTTTAAACTTTCAAAGAATCAATTAAATTTTTGCAAAGTTGAAATTTCTTTTTTGTATGATGTTTTAAACGAGAAGTGTTTGTTCTCTTATCACAGACTTAATTAGAAGACTTATTTGATATCATCATGTTACTTTCTATAAAATTGTCAGGGCTAGGCTTTGCACTGAATTTTTAAGGTAATATAGGATGATAACAGGACAAACAGAGCTATGTTGTGGAAGAAAGAGTTTTGGAACAAAAGGACTTGTGAGATAGAAAATACTTAGCAGATCTGTGACTTTAACCATATCTCTTGTTGACAAAACAAAAGCATTACCCACCAATACAGGTAATATTTTAGAACTGAACAATAGGTTGTCTTATTTTAAATGAAGTGTGATAAGTGGATACTCATTTCCTAAGGAGAGGTCAGGCTCACTGATGAGTTTACTGTTGGCCTCCCAGGTGGGAAATGGTAGCGTTTCTCCTGCAGCTGTGTGCAGGTAGACACATCTAGCATTGAGGCAATAAAAGAGAGAGAATTAAAAATATATCTGATGTGTGGCTGAAGAAATAAATAGTAGGATAAATTGATAATTTAAAACATATATGTATTTATTAATTATTTATCTCGTGTACATTTATGGCAGAGTCTTGCCTGGGACATAAACTGCTCAAATATTCAGAAAATGTCTTGACATTTTAGAACAGGAAACTTATTGAGTGAAATACATGTTACAGAAGCCTTTGCACCTGAAATTCTTTGCAAAAACACTCTTAGAACTTTTATGGATAGAGAATTGTCAGTCTCTAAATATGTAAAGTATATGTGTGAGTGTCTATTAGACTGCTTTTCCAGACAGGGTCTTTTTGATACTTTACCTGTTTGAGCTGTGAGTTTTATGCTTACATCATGACTGTATACATAGTAAAAGACTTAAGATTAGAGTTATAATTTCCTTTACTTACTGGGTTTTTAAAGTAGCCTGCTTGATCTTCTTTCCTACCGCTACTTTTGCTATAAGGAATGTTTCATATCTTGTGCTTTCTGTTCTTGTCAATCATTAGACTGGGCACTTTTTATTTTTTTGCTATTAGGTCATAGCCCTTTATTTTTATCTCTTTCAGTTCATCCTGAAGTTTTATTCCTGTTTCTCTGCCTATCCACTTGGAGAACTTTGCTTTTTTCATTTACCATTCTGTTGACTCCTACAGCAGACTTCCAGAACTGCTCCATTTGCAGGGCCCAGTTGGCCAGTTATACCTATTTTGTGTACCACAGTGACCAGCATATCCCAGAGAAACTGTCTGTCTCAATTACATTCAGACAATGAGCAAAGAAAGATCATCAGAGGAAATGTGTGGGTTTGTCTTTTGTGGTTTTTTTGCTATTGAAAAGTCGGTTTCTTCTTGGACAATATAATATGCTTGAGGTGGGCAAGAGCTTTTTTCTGTCCAGTAATATGCAGAATTATACTTCTGATTGTCAAGGATAAGCTTGTCATCAGTGTAGACGCATGGGCTCTGAGGTTATCGTCAATGCCACACAGTTTGCACACTTTGCCCTTAAATTAAGTGTCTAGTGACTATGAGAAATTGTGTTGTTTGTCCCACTCTATCCTCAGCCTGTTTTGAGATCCCAGATCATTCGATCCTCCCAAGGCTTTAAGGTTGAGGTGAGTCACTAAGAAATCTTTTCTTTGTCTTAGTGTTGATGTTGTGGATATCTAGCCTCTCTTAAGCACTACTGATGAGAAGAAAATCTTCATGCATCTTAAGTGGAAGTTAGCAAAAAATGTGTAAGAGGAAGCTAAAGCCTGAAGAGCTTATTGTAGCCTAGTTTACCCCTCTTTTTTTTCTTTCTTTTTCTCTTTTTGTGTCCATTATCTGCTACCACTACATACTAGTCAATAAGGCTTTATTAATTGCTCAGTTCAGTCAAACAGTGCTGGTGTTTGTGTGGTCTCTTCCAAGTGATTGAAAGTATCATAGATTTTCAGTTCCTTAGTTCCTTCACCTCTTGTTCCTGCAGCTGTGATAGAGCAACCTGATCTTTATGGGCTTCTTGCTCAACTAGGGATGTTAAATGCAGTGACATGTATAGTAAGTTGCAATATTTAATGCTACACGTTCAAATTGAATAATCTGACACTCCTGGGTTGACACTGTGACGTGCAATGACACTGTTTTTGCCAAGCTTTTGCCTCCTGATTTTTTATTTCTGTTTGAAATCTTTAAATTTGTGTTATAAAGCTTATCAGTCCTCAAATACTACTCTAGAAGCCCTCTTATAGATGACATATGTTAGGATGAAGCAATGTGTTTTAGGAGGTCATGATAACTGCAATTACCAGAATTCCTAGAGAAACTCAGCTGATTTGTGGAACATCCTTTCAATGACAGTTGTCAATCTAAGTAAAAATGATGACTTTCTATAATCTTATTACCTTTTCTCCCTCAGATTTTTAGCAATGCATGCTTTGGTGTTGAGGCCTGCATTTTAAAAAGATGACCAAGTTGTGTGTGCACACTGAGATCTGCTGAGACAAAATTTCTTCAACATCTTCACAAAGTCACATAGTATGCCAAGTTGGAAAGGACCCATAATGATCATCAAGTCCAGGACCATCCCCAAGAGTCACATCGTGTGAGAATACTGTCCAAACGCTTCTTGAACTCTGTCAGGCTTGGTGCCTGTGACCACTGCCCTGGGGGGCCTGTTCCAGGACACAAACACACTCTGGGTTAAGAACCTCTTTCCAATATCCAACCTAAACCTCCCCTGACACAACTTCAGGCCATTCCCTCAGGTCCTGTCACTGACCATCACAGAGAAGAGATCAGTGCCTGCCCCTTCTCTTCCCCTCATGAGGAAGTTATAGACTGTGATCAGGTCTCCCCTCAGTCTCCTCTTCTCCAGGCTGAACAGACCAAGTGACCTCAGCTGCTCCTCATACGGCTTCCCCTCAAGGCCCTTCACCATCTTCATTGTCCTCCTTTGGATGCTCTCTAATAGCTTAATATCTTTCCCTATATTGCAAACACAGGGACCAAAACTGCCAAAATATTCAAGGTAAGGCTGCACCAGTGCAAAGCAGAGAGGGACAATCCCCTCCCTTGACAGGCTGGCGACACTTTACCTGATGCCCTCCAGGATACAGTTGGCTTTCCTGGCTTCCAGGGCACTGCTGACTCATTTCCAACTTGCCACAGCCGAAACTCCTAGGTCTCTTTCCGTGGCATAGCTTTTCAGCATCTTATTCCCTGGTCTGTACGTATATCCAGGGCCCCATCCCAGGTGCAGAATCTGACACTTCCCCTTGTTGAACTTTATGTGTTTGCTGATTGCCCAGTCCTCTAATTTGTCAAGGTCTCTCTGCAGGACCCAAGATAGAACCCTGAAGAACCCCACTAGTGACAGGTCACAAGTCCTGTGTTACCCCATTCACTGTAACCCTCCATGCTTGACCCATGAGCCAGTTACTCACCCACCACATGATGTGTTTATCCAACTGTGTGCTGGACATTTTGTCTACAAGGATCCTGTGAGAGACAGTATCAAAAGCTTTACTGAAATCCAAAAAGATTACATCAACTGTCTTCCCTTATCAACTGGATGGATTACCTTGTCATAAAAGAAGATCAGATTTGATAAGCAGAACTTCCGTCTCATGAAGCCATGCTGGCTGTGCGCAATGACTGTTGTCTTTCATGTGTTTTTCAATACTTCTCATAACAAGCTTCTGCATAACTTTACCAGGCACTGAAGTGAGACTGACCAGCCTGTAGTTTCTGAGGTCCTCCTTGCCCTTCTTGAAAAGCGGGACAACATTCGCCAGGCATATGTATAAATGTACATATGGACAACAGAAACAAAGCTATAATTGTTCCCAAATAACATCTTCTTCCCGTAAAGGTAGTGTACTTACTGGGGATCATATCTTTCCCTTGTGTACTTACTGAGGTTTCTGTCATGCTGGAGGTGGGGCTTGCTCCAGAATAACATATTGGAGAGCTTTGAGTGGAAGCAGCATTGATGAGGGGGTTGCAAGAGTAAGACACATTCAGTCTTCTACATCCTTGGTCAAAGTGCTTTGGTTCTTGTTTTTCTTATCTTCATGGAAATTATTGCTATCCATGGAGCTGAATTCATCTCCTTCTTTCAGATCATTTCACACAAGTGTGCTTGGGCCTGAATATGTTCCTCAATTTTCCCCTCCACTGTTTTGGAGAGTGTTTCCTTTATCAAGAGACCGAGATTTAATAATTTTATATGAAGTGAATTGAAAAAGGAAGTTTCTAAAGTAGGATACGCTAAGGTAGTACTCTAATCTTTTTGGTACTTTGTAATGAAACACTAAAGGAAGAACTTACTACTCAATTCTTGATATAAATCATGCTTATGTATTAATACTGCTGAGGCATTTGGGTATATAATCTTAACTTTAGGAAAAAAATCAATCAATCGATATTGAAATCTAGTGCAGGCAGATCTTTTACCAGCTGAAGTTTATGGAGATTTCAGTGAGATACTAATTATAAAATACTAATGTATTCTCCAGCTATAGTATACTATATGATTTCTATATTCATTAAATTGTTGCTACAGATATCTAGGCATTTTTATTCTACATGGCCACATAAGCTGATATCATCAGTGTTCTATTTTATTTTATTTCCTGCCTTGTTTGAATGTATCCTGAAGAATTTATTTGTGACTGACATCTATATTCAGATGTAAAAATACATTTCTTTTAAGAAATACATGTGTCATATCTTTACTTAAGAGTTACCATTCTGTCTGCAAAGCATCAGCAGTAAGGCACTATGGACTTTTACTTATCATTATTTCAATCAATAATAAAAATCTATCAAGAAGATTCTCTGTCTTCAGTCTCTGGAGTCAAGAAATTACACTTTACCTTTCCTTGCCTGTCAGAGGTGGCAAATGAGGACTGTGTCTCAGTATTATTTTTCTCTTTGGGGTCCAACATGCCTCAGGTAAATATCACATATTTTGCCTGTAGAAAAGTTATGTCTTCTTATCATTTTGCTAGACTTAGAAAAAAAAATCTGTAAGACGTCAAGATGATATTCTGACAAGCTCGGCAGCAGGAAGAATATTTTCTTTGCAGTATACTGAAAGTTTTTAAATTTTTTTTGAAGAATTTAAAATCTCATTTCTAAGCTTTTTCTACTGGAAGAGAAGTAACAAAACATAAACCACTTAATTGGAAATTAGTTTGGGAAAGCTCAACACAATATTTTTGGGGATTTGGTTTCTTTTTTTTTTTTGTTAAATGATTGGTGCTGAATAGTTTCTTTCAGAGATTTGCGTATTGCAGATACTTTTATGCATTCATTCTCAAACTTGAGAGACATGGAGGACACCCTGAAAGGGTGAATGCTATCCAGTCACATGTGGCATGTAAGACCAGAAGGATAGATCATAGAATCATAGAAATCTCAAGTTTGAATGACTGATAAGGATGATGAGGCTAGGGTTGGACCCACTGAGAGAAAAGATGCTGGCTGAGACTGGGCAGACAGCAGGGACAAAGAAACCAATTCCAGGAGAAGCTCTGACAATGCCTTACTCTCACTGTGAACATTTCCAAGACTGCTGCCTGGAGATACCAGTTTCCAATTCCTGCTCCACCACCTTTTGACCCATTTCCACCTGTTCTCTCCAGATACTGGATCTACTGAAGTGATTTAGAATGCTTTGTCCCGTATCCCCCATTAAATTCTATCTTCTGCTTTTCTGCTGAAGTGTTGGGCTCACTCGTACAGCAGAGTGCTCTGTGACATACAAACTACTGAGAGTTTAAGGCTTCTCCCTTTGGCTGTTGGCGGGCTGGAGCTTCCCTTCTGCCTCCAATGCTGCAGTGTGATCCTAGAAGACAGCTATGTCTTTCCTATGAGATTTGCATGGAAGTCATCTCATGGCTTGTGGCTATGGTCACCCTTGTTTGACAAGGTCTGTAACAGAGAACCAAGGCATTGTCAAGCCTGCATACACCATGTTAACACACCAAGTTAGCTCCATGTTGCTTTGACACAGTCTGTCCCTGAGTTCCAGCAGTTCATTTGTAATATGACCCTCAAGGATATTTTTAGTGAATGCACATACCTCCTGCCCACTCATTTTGAGAACTCTGAATAGAGGTGAAGGGCTGTGTTGTGTTCTTGGGGAAATAAAGCATGCTGTACTAAGAAACTGAGATTGAGTGTCTGTGGTTTAAAAGAGGGGAGGGGGCAAATAATAAAAGAAGAAAAATTAAAAGCTGCAGTCGATTTGGTTCCTGGACCAGAAAGGACAAGGAAGAGCAGGAGCAGATTAGATGAATAGCAGAACAGCATCAATAACTTGTCTGTTAAGTTCCTTATTTACTGCCTTTTATGCTTTTTTTTTTTTTCTAGTTTGTTTTGAGTAATGTTTCTGAGGGCACTGGGGAACTGGGCACTTTCTGAGGTTCTTACATGGAAAGCTTTTCTCTAGTGATAGTATTCTGTGTGTGTAATGACTACAGTTTCTCTTAAATGAGACCTCGCTATTGAGTGCACACCACATAAGCAGCAATTTCTAAATATAGGTGGTCTGAAGAGAACAAAGAAATTGTAAATATTACCTACTTTTCATAGAAGAAAACCACCTTCAAAGTTTTTCCTGAAAATCAATTCAGATTTTCATGTGAATCAAATAATTGACATAAGCTGTTCTATCCTAACAGTACATTCAAGCCAAAGAAAAAGAGGTTTTTAGTGTTTAAAGAGTCTTTTTATCTTTATCTGTAGAGAACAAAAGCAGTTACAATATCTTGAAGGTTGCATTTTCACAGGTATCAAAAGGAAAAGCTGACTTGGAGATGAATCCACCCTGGAGGTAGTTTGGTAATGTTTGTTAGGAAATAACTAAGTTAGTAAACACTGAACAGGTTTGTGCTCACTTCACTGGAGCATGGTCACTTGTCTGCTTTTTCTGTTGGAACTTAATCACTCATTTGTGCAAATCAACCATTTTGAGAATAGTTTGCATGTTTATTATACTAACCAATGTTCCATAACGAGTATCTAGATCTGAAGTAGTATAGATTCTAGATAGTGAACATATCAGATTATGGTCCATGAGCGGAGAGAGAGAAAATGCCCATTTTTAGGGGGGCTAGAATTTCTGTAGTGTGTACCATGTCTGTAATTTCTGCTCCCTGTACTCCTTGCTACTACAGTGTTATCTAATGCTGCCTACATTCTGTGCTTGACAAAAGACTCAAGCATGGACATGTGCTACTCCATTATTCTTCTATAGAGGAAAAGAGTGACTCTGATGTTGGTGTTGGTGTAGCAAATATTTGAATTTCAGCTGTATGGAGTGTATAGCACTATATTTAGAAGAATTCCAAGTCTCTAAAAATAAGTAGTCTTTTCCCCTAATATCCCTAATCTTTCCCCTAATCTTTCCCCTAATCTTTCCCTTAATCTTATGAATGAATCTGTATGAATTCCTTATATTCCTAAACTACTGGAAAATTCACCACCTGCTTTTAATTTCCATTATCTTTCTTGAGATAATAACAAAATAAATAACAATTTTTTTTTTTTACTTTTGCAGGCTTTGTGCAGAATTACTCGCTCCTCACCTAGTGCTTTCCAGAGTGTCATTGAAAAAGTGGGATTAACAGCCGTACTAAATTCCTTGGCAAATGGAATATGCAAAATTCAGCAGTACATGCTCACCATGTTTTCAGCAATGTTGTCATGTGGGATTCATCTACAGAGATTGATTCAAGAAAAGGTTTGATTTCAGATTAATATTATTCAGTGGCATGGAGTTTCACTAAGGAAAAGTTAAAGTTTACGCTGCTAGTGGTTTTGGGTTTTCAAAATGTTTAACTCAGTGACATTTACATATCTGAATAGCAGAAAATGATGAATGTGTTTATTTTATATTTTTATTTGCTTAAAATCTAAATAATAAGGTGTATAGTTTTTCTTTCTCTTTCACAGAACTTCAAGAAATGGTACTAAAGGGTGTATACATTGTTACTGCAGCTAGAATTCAATCAATTCAGAAAACTCTGACCATAACTGATAATGGTCCTAAGTAAAATCAATAAGGAATGTGTAAGGATAGCTATTTGACATAGCTCTTTTAGCCATTTAAAAGGGAAAATAATGAGTGTCCTGATTGAATCCGAAGCTGTACTTTATGCTCTCCTTAAAAGACCTTAGGCCAATTTGTAAGTGAAATGTCTTGCAGACATTAAAATGTCTAGCATTTTAATACCTTAGGGTTTTCTTTTTAGTGTCACTGAATAAAACTTCTAGGTTTGATATATGTCTAATATAATTTTTGGTAGAGGTGATTCAAAGCTTTATATTTTTATCACCAAATTATTCTGTGTTTAGAGAAACTGTTTATTTTTTTGACAGTATTTCTGCACGGTTCATAAATAAAAGTAATCTCCCTCTCCTTGGAAAAGATAAAAATCACAAAGAAAGTAGAACCTCTAGCTCTTGTTTTCATCAAAAACTCTGTTGCAATGTATGTTGTAACCTGACAATCATCTTGACTATAATAATATATATTAGTATTGGTACATATTAGTATTAGTTGAGAGAGTATTAGGGTGTTGAGTATTAGGATATTAGTTGGGAGAGTTTTGTTTCTCTACATGTTGTTTTAACAATGATATTTAAATTAAAACAATCTACTGTTTTCCACCCATCTCTTCTTGCAGCCTGAAATCACTCCTTCTCTTCCTAAACGTAATTTCTGTGCCATTGTCAGAATTTCATGAGTGTGTATCAGCTGGCCTTAAGCTTTCCACACATTCCACAACAGCACTAACAGGTGGCAAATTGTCCTGTAATGATGTTGCAGTTTCTAATAGTGCACATTAGTGTGAGCTGATGGTACAGTCAGAGAAATATTGTCAAAAATTATTTATTTGAACATTCGGAGAAAGAGTGCAATGTGTAGCAAGCTTATGGCTACAGCATGATGCTTTCTGTGAAGAATTTCTTGATTATATAGGACTTATATTGCTAAAAGGACTCCTTTACAGATACTGAATTTCTTACGAATAATTGCTAAAAGGATTCCCTTTCCAATCCTGCAACTCTTATGAACAATTTTAGTCAAAATTTTGCAGATTAGAAAATCGAAATACAGGCAAATATGGACATTCCTTTAACGGCATATATCAAACTAATTATAGAAGTGGGGATAGTACCCGAAGCTGTAGCTGAAAAACACTGTACTTTAAAAACTCGTAAAGTGGGTCTTTATGTGCCCATGTTTGGTAACTGTACCGGCCTCACAGGTTCAGACAAACCTGTATCTCATAGAATGTTTATTTTGTTCAAATTAGATTATAAGATTTTGAAAGCAGAAACTAGATTTCTGTTTTTCTTAAATGGGATCTAAAAATGTAATCCTGCTCATGTATTGAATTGCCACATGCTATCACATTACACAGAGTAATAATATTTTAATGCTGACCATTGAATTGAATACTCCATGCACTTTTCAATATTCCATGCTCATGGCACACAAGTCCACCTTAATGAGAGAAGGGAAAAGTGGGTAGTGTTGGCCTACAAATTATTTTACCTTCTGTAAAATTCTTGTGTACTATAGACTAAGAGGCAGGAGGACCTCAGTGTCCCACAGAAGGTAGTGACAGGGTTGTCACTACCTCTCTATCTGTTTAATATGACTGCAAACCAACATATTAAAAGATGCTTAAAGATACAAATTCAAGATAATTTAGCTTTGTGTGTGTTGTCTAAAAACTCCCTTAGTTTATAAGACTTACTTAGGACTGCCTTTGTTTTCTTCTCCCTTCAAGAACAGCAATAAAAACCACTTACAAAATAAAAGCCAGAAGACAAGGACAAGTGATCCTACATGATCTGTGATCATGTAATTAGTATAAATCTTCAGAGAACTACAATAGCTAAAAGGGACTGGGTTTTGTCCCTCGCTGATACAGAGCCTTTCTATTTTAGTTTCTTTTTTGGAAACTAAAATAGTTGAAATTATGTTTTTAAAATAAAGTGTGGAAAAAGAACTCAAAATCTTTGACATCCTATAACAGTAGATAAAAATACCACTGCTAATTACTTTCATCTGGCTGTCAAGATTCATTCAATGAGTAAAATAGTGAAATAGGGATCCAACTGTTCTCCCCTTGTGTAGCCAATTTGAAAATGTCTTTGCTTTTGTTTTAAACTAGATTTGCAGTATTAGTAAGGGTATACAATATAAAATCATGATCTTCTTGCAGTTGACAGTGCAATGAAAAAGAGTGTCCTTACCCTGCAGAGTCTCCATGAATACATCAAACTGTTGCAGGGGAGGGAAGAAAAGTATAGCAATGAAACAATTATTAATTAATGTATTTTGAGATATTTTGCTGATTTTTGGCTTTTCAGACACATTGAGTCCTACTGTTCAGCAAAGATGTGCTTCAGATTTTCTTTGGATAAACCGTTGCTGTTTTCCAGTCCTCAGACCAACCTGAAAAGCAAATTCCAAAATGTCACATTTATTTCTTAAGCTAGACTATTAGAATATTCCCAGATAAGTCTGATGTAACTAATTTTGGTTGCTGATGTTGTCTTAACCCATGGTAACCCCAACATGTAGCATTGAAATATCCTTGCTTTCCAGAGCATGAAGACTCAAAGTAGTCAGATGTGCTTTGGCTTGTACTTGCATGTGTCTTTGTCATGGTGTCCCTGTGCATGGTCTGGCAAGTCCATTTATGTTAGCACAGTCAGTGTTGCATTATATATAGTCTTTGACTAAGTCTGAGGTTTTGTGGGGTTTCGTAACAAGAAAACTTTTTTTGTTCTTTTGAGTAATTTCATTAGAAAAAACCAAACCAACCAACAAACCAAAAACTAAACCACAAACTACACTTCATTAAAAATTCAACCTTTGCTTTTAGTAGATTGTAAATTAAGAACTTTACTGCTGTAAATTCATACTGGAGGAACTACGAGTCATACTCTGTGAGCTGTTGAAGTGTTTAAAGCAGGAAACTTTACACAGCTTGTAGTTTTTAACCACAAGATTGAGGAACTCTTCTGTTTATTAAGTAAATTGTTGAAATACAGAAAACCAGTTCTAGAATAATTAGTATCAGTTTGTTTTTCTGGGATTTTTGTAGTTACTGTCTGCGATGACTGCTTTTGAAGACAGTGTTAAAATGCATCCGAGTAAATATCTGAGTAAAATCTGATTGTTTCCTGGCCAACTCTGGCATTCCTGTTCTTCTTCTGTTCTCTGTAAAGATGTATAGTTAATTGTTGCAAAGACTGTCTCTAATAAACTACGTTCAGTGTTGATTTGCAGTTGTTCTATCAACAAAAGAGGAATTTGAATAATACTTTTTATGTTAAATGTGCCTCACACAGCAGGATTCTAGACTTTGTGCACAACATGCAGGTGTAAACTGCACACTTGTTCTGCAGTGTCACTCCCTTGAGAATCCAGCTCAACTGTTTGAAGGTAGTTTCTTTTGATGAGGGCATTTGTGCTCAGTCTAATTCTTGCATAGAACCAGTTTACAAATTCTGGCTTAGTTTTTAATTCTGATCTTGGTTTGCGTTCTTTTTTTTTTGGTTTGGTTTGGGTTTTTTTGAGAAGAAGAGAGATTTGAAGTAGGATTTGTGTTTTTAGAACAAGACATTCTGATCATGAGCTGATCCAAAAGTACCATCACTGCTGCCAGCAAGATAATCTCTGAGGATGGATTTTTCTTTTATTTTGTTATTTTTAGCAAGTAGCCCAATTGGTCTTTGTACAAGTGCATATAAGTAGCAGATATTTTTATTCCTTGGAGGTAGAAGATACTCCATATAGTTTCTTGTTTGGCTGTTTTTTTTTCTTTGATACTTTAGGAGTTACAAGATATTGGTGGACAGAGCATAAATAATTCTCCTCTTTTATAACTCATAATACCTAATTATGTTATTCATAGTTTGAGAACTCCTTTACATTCCACTGATTCTCAGCTTTATTCCCTTTATACCTGAGGCAGTACACATAAATCTCATGTCTTTCCACCTGTCAGGCCACATTCCAGAAACTAGAGAAGAAAATCCATTCAATATACAGGGTGAAAAAAGAAAGAAAACAAAAAACAAAGCTGTGATTTCAGAGCCCAGTCAGCTAACCATTGTTAAACTTCTGAAGGGAAATATTTTATGGTTATTCTTTATTTATCACTATCCTTGTTAAACTTTTTAAATTGTTCTTTTATTTGGATTTACAGGTAAGAGTGAGTTAGCAAGGATCTTGGAAACATATAAATTGACCTTGTTGTAGGAATGGAGAATGGTCAGTGGGTTATGAAAGTCATGGCTCCTTACTGCTTGTGGTTTATCCTTTTCCTTTACGAGTCCTAATTTTGTTTTTTTTCCTTAAAAAGATGTTGTTCAGTTTATGAACCCTTAGTAAAATTAGTTTAGATAAGAATCATAGAATAGAATCATAGAATCATAGAATCGATTGGGTTGGAAAAGACCTCCGAGATCATCGAGTCCAACCCTTGGTCCAAATCCAGTCCATTTACTAGATCATGGCACTCAGTGCCACGTCCAATCTGCGTTTAAAAATCTCCAGGGATGGTGAATCCACCACCTCTCTGGGCAGCCCATTCCAATGCCTGATTACTCTCTCTGTAAAGAATTTTCTCCTGATATCCAACTTAAATTTCCCCTGGCGGAGCTTAAGCCCGTGCCCCCTTGTCCTATTGCTGAGTGCCTGAGAGAAGAGAGCAACCCCCACCTGGCTAGAACTTCCCTTCAGGTAGTTATAGACGGTGATGAGGTCACCTCTGAGCCTCCTCTTCTCCAGGCTAAACAACCCCAGCTCCCTCAGCCTCTCCCCATAGGACTTATGCTCCAGTCCCTTCACCAGCCTCGTTGCTCTTCTCTGGACCCGCTCCAGCACCTCAATATCCTTTCTGAACTGAGGGGCCCAGAACTGAACACAATACTCAAGGTGTGGCCTCACCAACGCATAGTACAGGGGAAGGATCACTTCCCTGCTCCTGCTGGCCACGCTATTTTTGATACAGGACAAGATCCCATTGGCCTTCTTGGCCACCTGGGCACACTGTTGGCTCATGTTGAGCTTCCTGTCAATTAGTACCCCCAGGTCCCTTTCTACCTGGCTGCTTTCCAGCCACTCTGTGCCCAGCCTGTAGCGCTGCAGGGGGTTGTTGTGGCCAAAGTGCAGGTCCTGGCACTTGGCTTTATTGAACTTCATCCCATTGGAATCAGCCCATCTCTCCAGTCTATCCAGATCCCTCTGCAGAGCCCTCTTGCCTTCCAGCAGGTCGACACTCCCTCCCAGTTTGGTGTCATCAGCAAATTTGCTGATGATGGACTCAATCCCCTCATCTAAATCATCAATAAAGATATTAAACAGGACTGGACCCAACACAGACCCCTGGGGAACACCACTGGTGACCGGCCGCCAGCTGGATGCAGCTCCATTCACCAGCACTCTCTGGGCCCGACCCTCCAGCCAGCTCCTAATCCAGGAGAGGGTACACTTGTCCAAGCCATGGGCTACCAGCTTTTCCAGGAGTATATTATGGGAGACAGTGTCAAAGGCCTTGCTGAAGTCTAGATAGACCACATCCACAGCCTTCCCCTCATCCACCAGGTGGGTCACCTGATCGTAAAAAGAGATCAGGTTGGTCAGACAGGACCTGCCCCTCCTAAACCCGTGTTGGCTGGGTCTAATCCCTTGTCCATCCTGTAGGTGCTGTGTGATTGCACTCAGGATGATCTGCTCCATAACCCTGCCAGGCACTGAGGTCAGGCTGACAGGCCTGTAGTTGCCAGGGTCCTGCTTGCAGCCTTTTTTGTGGATTGGGGTGACATTCGCCAACCTCCAATCATCTGGGACCTTCCCAGAGAGCCAGGACTGTTGGAAGATGATGGAGAGCGGTTTGGCAAGCTCTTCTGCTACCATCAGAGATGGTAGAAACAGTTTCACCATCTATTTGGAGCATCTTGTATAAAATTTGGGGTCTGATGTAGACAAGATTGTATCCAACTAAGGTGTTGTTTTTAATCTTCCTGCATATATGGGAATGAAGAGGCAAAAATGTAGTCATATTTGTGCTTAAATATTTATGTATTCTGAAAATAGTTCAGTCTTCTTTTAAAATAAATATATTCAAATATCCTATGTTTAAGGAAAGACATTTTAAAATGTAAGTTTTATCATCTTTTGTAGTTAATCTCATACCATTTTGGACATAGTACATTAGATAGTGTTTACTTGGTATGCTAGCATTTGTGAATATGTTCAAAATGCTTTGCTGTGGGACAGTCTGTCTTGGGCGGAATTTATTTGCTAGTGTTTTGTGGATTTTTTTTTTCATGAGACATTAAAAGTGCCTAACTAACACAGAATGCACATGAAAATGAGGAAATTTTAAATGTATATAGTGTTACAATACGGTGTGAGTAACTTTCGTGTATTTGTGTTTATTTCCACCAAGGATTTTGTGACTACAATTACTCGATTACTTGAAAGTCCTTCAACTTTTATTCGAGCAAAAGCCTTTTTGGTCCTGCTACAAGTTTTGATCAATAACAGGGAGATGTTGCTACTCAGTTGTCAAACAAGGTAAGGTGATAAAGGAAGATAATTAGAGATATAATATTTAAAGTTGTACCTGAAATACTTTAAAATGTGTGGTATTTTTGAGCCAGTGTTTTAGAAGTGAACTGTTTCCTGTGTGATATGAATCCTTTCATTCATGAGAATATAAAGAAAAGAGTGTTCTCTTTTGTCTGGGGTCATCAGGTGACACTAACAAGTGGAAACCACTGTGTTACAGGGACAGTCTGTTTTTAAAGGAACTTGTGGTCTCAGTGAACATTAGCAAGGACCAGATTTTGCTTTGAGTACGGCAAAACAAATACAGCAATAGTGAGTTGTTATGGTGGGAAAAGCAAAATAAAAGGTTCTGTCACGTACCTTCCTCATCTTGGAGTCTAGTGTAATACATAGTCTTTTCAGCATAGGCACATTCAAGGTAAAATAATATTTCTTTGTTCAATGTGTTGTGGGAGTGATTTATATAATGACCAGTAAATTCCTGTGACTTTTACATGAAATATTTAATTTTTCTGCTTTTTACAATCTTTTGCAAGAAATTACTCACAGTGGACTTGTTTTTTTAAATTTTGTGTCTTGATGGTGCAAAAACATTCCTGTATTAGAGAGGAACAAATTAGACTGTGTTAGAATATGAATTGTCCCCATGTTTTGAGGTGATTGGAGAAATAAGATGAAAGAAATTTTAGTTGGGATCTATATCTTCAACTGTTCAGTATGAAGAACAGCAAAATGAAGTGTTAACGTAATTTTTACAATATTGAAATAAAGCAGGTTTGGAACCAAAATAAAAAAGGACGAGGGATGTGGGTATCTGTAAATCTAGCTACATTTACAGCAAATAAACCTTTGTAACTTATATTGGTGTTTGAGAAGAATTAGGATGTATGCGTTGGAGCTAGAGGGCTGGATTGGAAGGAACCGGTGACTTATAACATGAAGCCATTGTCAGAGGACACCTTGTGGGTTCTATCATTATATATTCCTCCACTCACATACAAACCTGTAGGTATCCCAATTTTTTAGAATCACAGAGAATAAGTACCGAATCCAAGTTTCTTTTTTGTGTGTATCTTTTTGTACTTCCAGAAATGTTTTATCAGATTATGTGCTCTGGTTAGTGTAAAACACCTCTAACGATTTGTAAGTAACATTTTGAATGGTTACATTTTTAATAACTCTTGCTATTCATATGCTTATATAGCACATAGTACTCTTGTTGTGTATTTGGAGAAATGTCTGACAGAAATCCTGCGTGGACAGTTACTCTTTGTTTATTTATACCTAAGATATTATGTGAAAGAGAAGAAATGTAATAACTTTTAACAACAATTTGCTTTATTTATAATGCTTTCTGATGGGCACCCTTTCTGAAGACAATGTGTTGTGAGTTTGGGGTGTGATTTTTGGCTTTATTCTGCTGTTTTATTGTGATGCTCTGGACATTGCTGATTAGGGACCAATACATAATGTAACACATTAGGTAAAACAATAGGAAAGCCTTATAGCAGTTTGTTGAATTGACAAACTGGTTTTCTTGATTGTTATCTTTATAACTGTTATTTAGTGACCAGTATCTCTCTTGATGGAATAGATCATCTAGCCTAAAATCTTTATCTTATATCCAGAAAGTAAGCTTGTTACAGAGAGAAGAAATGACCCATTAAGTGTGGAGACAACTACTTTCATAATATCATGAACTCTGGAAGAATCTTATTACACCCAGTAGAGATACTGGATACTCATTAACTTACACTGTTAAATTCCTGTTGGAGTATTTTAGTTAAATGTCTCCAGTTCTGTGACAGAAAAATTACGTCAAAATTAAGACTCATAAATTCAAAATTGCTAGTACAGTAAGCAATAATCTATTTGATATACTCAGGTTCTCTTTATGAAGGTGTTTGATTTGATAATATAAAGAGCATGTAGTAAAATGTGCAACTATTCCAACTATTTAATGGTTTGTCTTCAGCAGTTGCAGCTAATGTTTGTAACAGGATTTATATTGCCTTAGATGGTAAAATCTGTTTATGATAATGATAATCAATATAAGGCAAATTTTCTGTGTGCATCACTTAAAGGATCATGCAGATGATAAAACACTAATAACTGTGTCATGGCAACACTGCATATAACTACAGCTTTGAGTTAAATGTTGTTCAGTTTGGCATTGAAAAAGGCTTTTGTTTATTTTAGTAAATGTGCTGGGTTTGAATGGGATAGTGTTAATTTTCTTCATAGTAACTACTATGAGGCTGTGTTTTGGATTTGTGCTGAAAACAGCCCCCTCCTCAGCATGGGGACTGCCCCAGGGCCAGCACCCCAAAGCTCTGGAGAGCTGTTCTTCCTAGAAGGCAACAAAGCTGGGGCAGGGTCTGGAGCACAAGTCTGATGAGGAGCTGAGGGAACTGAGGTTGTTTAGCCTGGAGGAAAGGAGGCTCAGGGGAGACCTTACTGCTCTCTGCACCTACCTGAAAGGAGATTGTAGCAAGGGGGATGTCTCTCTTTTTTCAAGTAATGAGCCATAGGACAAGAAGAAATGGTCTTAAGTTGTGCCTTAATTTCTTCACTGACAATTCAGACAATAAAATCCTGTTCCCACTGGTAAACTTTGTGATATGTGCCCTTGCAAGTGGTTTTGGAGCTGAAAAAGCTGTGGCATGTGAGGAAAATAGCGTTCTCATCATTATTCCACTCACTGGGAGGGAAGGGCAAGGAAAGGAGAGGGGAGAGTGAAAGGAAGTGAAAGGGAAGGGGGAGTAGGGGAAGAGGAAGTGTAAAGACCAGCTTATTTTATCCGTGCTGGTGTTATCGAGATGTTATTCCTTGTGTTTTTCTTCTAGTTTTTGCACAGTATCAGGAAATAAAAGGCAGCAGAAGTAGGCACTGGCTAAACCCCCTTTTCATTGCCAGCAATAAAGATGCCTCTGGGCTGGGAACATGACAAGTACCCCATGTTACAAGTCTTGATTCCTTGAATACAATCTTAAGACTACTTACCTGTGTAACCCCCAATTCTCCAAATCTACCTTAGCATATTTTTAAATTATTAAATTAGTTGCTGTGCAGGTATGTAATTCAAGACCTTGACAATGAATGTCACCAATGAAAATTTCTCTAGGACTTCCCAAAGTACTTTGAGAATTTGAGATCTGTGGATAAAAGCATTTATATGTAATAAGAAATGCAATATTCAAGTGAATTTTTTGTTACACAACATTGGTACAATTCACCTGTTATTCTTTTTTCTGTCTGTTCCATGGTAGTCCATTACATACCTTTTATTCTTCCACATTTGATACAGCTAGCGAAGATATGAGACCTTTTAGGCTGAAGTAGCACTTACACTATGCAAATAAAGTTTGCTTACACTATGGAAATTAATTTCTTTTGCTAATTGCACTGAGTTTTCTAGTCTCCTTCTTTTCTCTTTAATTTGCAAAGGCGAACTACCTGTTCTTGAGGGGAGGGATACAACCTGAAGTTTTGTTGAAACTTTTAATTTCACCCTTTTCTGAATTAGTAGTAATTTCCAAATAGTCTCTCTGAATTGTTCTCTTTTTTATCTAAATGGTTTCAGAGAATTTCCTAGGTGAAAAGAGACCGACCTGAAGATTGAAATTCCTCCCAAAAGAATTTATTTAAACCTGTTGTTTTTTACTGTCTGCAGAAATGGAAACTTGTGGAAGGATAGGGTAGTATTTCTGACAGACTTTCACAGTCTGCAAAAACCTGACTATGCACAACAGCACAATTTCTGAACAAAATCTTTCTCTGTTACCTGTCCCCACCTCCCATATTTTTTTAAATTTTCAAATCTTATATGCCCTCAATGGAAAACCTTTGCGTGGAAACCTACAATTTCACATCTAGCAGAGCCTATTGGCCTTATACATCTAAGACTAATCTAGGAAAATAGTGAAGAAAAGAACAGAAAAACTTGGTGCTCAATCAAATGGGAAAACGTGGAAATGGAAGGCAGGAGGGAACAATTACATAAGTCAGTGGTCTCAGGAAAAAAACTCAGCAAACTGGTATAAAATTAAAAAGAAAAAAAAAAGGAAGAAATAGGGATTGACCCTCTTATTAACATGATCTACCATCCAGTGTTACATCTCTGTAAAATACACAATACAGCTATATTAAATATCCTTTAAATATCTTCATCCTTTTCTGTTGCCAAAGGTTGACTAACAACAATAATAAATAATAAATAATAAAAGTAACAGCTAGTCCTTGAATTCATGTGGTAAATGGACTGTATATGTCCTCAAAGCATGCACAACCTTCTTTAGTTGCTTGAAGATCGGTCATTCTCTGTGAACTTAGTGGGCTGAAGGGAGAAGCAGGGAGAAGGCTGCTAGTGAGAGACCTCCCGGTTTTAGGTTCAGTCAGCTGTTGGCTGCATGCATTCTTTCCTCCCTGTTGAGATGCTGGTAAAGCTGTAGCTGAACTTTATTGATAGCTAAAGCTGATTTTAAGGATGTTGAGGGTAAATGTCAAATGTAAAAATGATAGGAGGGAAAAAAGTTCTTAGAAAGTCCTTGACAGAGTCTAACCTTCTGATCCAGGTCAAGGTTTGTTATGCTTGAGAAATATTTTTTAACGATTGTTGCAAATTGGTGGGTATTCCATGACCTCCTTTTGACAGCTGTACTAATTGTGTGCTATTCCTAATTCTCAAAAATTCTAGTTCTTTTCTTATTGAAATTTCGATTCTACAGGTTAAACATAGAAAACAGTGCAGTTTCTTTCTCTTTACAGTGACTTCTCTATATTTCTAGGCCATGTCTTATCACATCTCTGCTCAATCTACTGAGTGACTAAATCTTGTTTCTTCATGTTGGTCATCTTTTTAAGTGAACAGTTCTTACTCCTTAAGTAGTAGACCTCATTCTCCTTCCTATCATTCAGGATTGTTAACTCTGAAATTCTCTACTTTTTTCTTCATTCTTCGCATTCTTTTGAAAAAAACTTGGGTTGTTTTCCTTTTTTAGTGTAAAGCTTACTGATGGCCTATCTTGCAGTACAGATACTTGAAGAATTTTTTTCCGAAATCAAACCTTTGCTTCTTCATAGACAATGGTTTATTCCTCATCATATTTAACTTATTTATACTAATACCTACATGTTTTTATGTGTTGTTGAGTGCAAGACAAACATGCATTAAATTAATTGAATAAACATTTTTCTATTGGCCTAGTTTTGCTCATTAGAGAGAATACTGAGATTCTTCAGGGAATAAAAGTAATTGATGAATTGTTCTACATAAGACTGAGGAATTTGTTGAAGGAAAATGGAGACCCTAATGCTTTCTAGCCTATACAATTTTTATCTTCACAATTTTCTCGAGAGAATGTTTAGTTAAACAGGACTATCAGGGGAAAAAATAGCTGTGCATATTTTTAGAAAACGTTTCTATGAAAGACAATTTTGAGATGGGAAGGACAGCACAAAGGAGAGAACTCATGAGTTTATGTAAACTTTTTATCTTTACACTCTTGGAATAAATAAACCTACTTTTTATGCTTCCCAAGTGTGATTAACTAATAAAACATGCTTTTGTAAAAAAAGAACCTCCTCCTCCTCCCAAGCAATAAAACCACTCATGTTGAAATCTATTTGGCCCATTTCAAGTAAAACTTAAACAAATCTAAATGTATTGTCATATATGGAATCAGATAATTGCTAAATCATGGAAGTGCTTTCTTAAAGAAAAAAATCCATACAAACTCTGATATTTTGCCCTTTTCTTTTCAAAGTTAAACATTTTTTTGAGTAAAAATTAATTTGTTATCTGGAAAGGCTTGAAGGATTTTACCATTTTAATTTAAAACATTTGAATTTTTATATTAAAAAATTTAAAGCTTTTGAAGGGAAAATTCTATTTGAAGTGCAATGTCAGATTTTTAGGTAGTTCTTTTTTAACAGACAGATCAAAATTCCTTGTAATTTAATGCAATTTCCAGAGATTACAAGAAAAATAAAAGATGTCCTTGTGGTCTCTGAGAAGTGCAGCTGAATTGTGTTGCTTCTGGGCTATTACAGAGGTGAAAAGTAGTTACTGAATGGGTCTTTTGACTTCTCTGTGTCTCTGTAGACCAGGTTAGGAAGGGTAAGATTGTAATTTTCAATAACAGTCATGTGAGACATAATTCTGCAAAATGCATTCCTAAGTAGTTTTTATTTCATTGAGTAAATCAGCTTTTTGATGGAAAGACATATTCCCTAGAATAAAATTTTGTGTTTGTGAGTCCTGCAGTATTGTTATGTACACTCGAGGTAGTATAGAAAGAAGTTATTCTCATAGTTCTATAAAAGAACATTGATTATAAGAAGGGTATTTAAAAAGATAGTACTGAAGTACATTCTTAAAATCCAGATCATGGATTTCACTCACCAGTGATTGATAGTTCTTTGCACAGGACCCGGAGGGAGTTCGAATGTGAAACAAAGATGTCAATATTATGCCCCTAAAGGGAAGTCTGGCCCTTCTGTCTATTCACATAAGCATTGTAAAATTTTGCCTGAAGCATTCCGTTACAGATGTATTACTAAAGCAATCTCTTGTAAGTTAGCCACTGTCTAATAAATCAGTTACCATTTCACTGTGAGAAATGTCACTCTGCAGAACGGCATAGCCACACAGCACTTGCCAGTTAGAATGTGAGCACTGAGCTTGTCTTTAGAAATCTTGAACACCAGATTTCTAGAAAAAGGATGTAAGACTAGTTTGGACTTTTATCTCTTTCAATATGACCATTCCAACTAGTGCTAACATTTTTAATGGGCTGTAGTATGATTTATGTAGTATGATTTTTCTGGATTGAAAGATTGATCTCGTTACACTGACTTGAATTAGTCTTGCTTTTGGAACTCCTACGAGTTGAAAATGAATGCCTTTAGTCTTTTGCTCATATTGCACACGTTGGTTGTGTATTTCAAAAGTAGATTGTAATCAGTCTCTAAGTTTGCAGAGAGATTCACTCCTTATATTAGCATCACATATTAATTTAAACTAGTAGAGTTGCACTTACTTAAAGTAGCTTAAGAGTTTCTTCCCTGTGTTCCTTGACTGAGTAATTTGTGGTATTCTTAAAGTTTATCTATATTAAAAGAAAAGTCTAAAATTTAAAAAAATACAGAACCAAAACTAATGTATCATCCTGATTGTAACCACAGATACTAAAAATGTCTGATTCAGGAGTATTTTTGAGATACAGAGTTATTTTTTTGTTATGAGAGGTAATGTTTTGCACTCGTTTAAATGCAGGCTTGTGATTTATATTGAAAGAGACAGCAGGAAGGCCACATCAGGAAAAGAGCAGCAAGGTGGCAGTGAATATCTGTCAAAATGCCTGGATCTTCTCATCTATCACATTGTGCGGGAGCTGCCAGGAATTCTAGGTAAATTCAGTTGATAAACTGAACAAACCTTACCTTTGCTTACTCCCTCAAGAACCAAATATCTCATTACAGACTGAATTGTCTGATTACATAAAGTTTGCATTCTATCAACTTCCTGAAGTTTTGTAGTTGTGTCATAATCACGTATTTTGTACTGGAATGCATGATTTCCTATATTAATGTTTTGTACTTGTGAAATGGTAAGTTTACCCTGTCAGTTCAGTCAGAAGTTTTATCAATGTTCTAAAGGTATTCCAAACATTGTAAAACCTAAGAGCAAATTTGCCCCACAAAACAGAGAGCTGAGAGAGATGCAATAGGGCATATCTCTGAGTACGTGGTAATCACTTACCCTGAAACTTATGTGTTGAGTATTTGCTCCAGGCAATTTTCCTGAAAAGTTTCAACCTAGATACTTCAGTTGTTTTAGATGTCTGAGACTGATTTGCTCATGCATAAGAGCATTTTTTTCATAAAATTATTTTCTGATGAGATGATACCTGATGTATTTTTCATCTTTTCTACATTATCGCTAGGATATTGAAAATGAAGTGGTAGCACTGCAAAGGTTAGCAAACCTAAATGTCATGCTGCTATTTTAAAAGAAACTTTACTTCCTATGCTAATGCAAATTTTTGCCTTACTGCAAACATCTGATCCCTTTTTTCTAACTAAATATCAGGTTTGCATATTGGCTATATTTCAGGATGGAAGTCTCAGACTAAATGTTTGAGGCAGCAATTCACCTCGTACTGTTTATATATGCTTTATGCAACTAATATAGAATCTGAAAGTTGAATACATCAAATATATAGTTATTATTATAATACATAATATATCAATTGCTTAGACGTGTTTACTACTGATTTACAATTTCAATGCATTGTTGACAACTGATATCAAGCATAATTTTTACACTTTGTTTTCCTTTCTTTTCCAAACTAGATCTGTGTGTTGATTGTTTTCCTTAATCTTAAGTTATGTATCCATATTTATCCACATTTGTCAGTAGGCTTTTTATTGCTGTGAATATGATGAGAGAACATGTTCTGCTTGAGGTGGTATGGGCTCCTAAGAAAAATAATCAGATTTGAAAACTGGAACAGTTAAAAGCAGTTTAACTGTTGATTTAAAATTAATCCTAGCTGGCTTTTTTAATATGCATTTATGTAAGCTGCTTACTGATCCCATCTTCTTCCACCAGATGTAGCTATAAACCAAATAGATTAACAAGTTGTAGAAATTGACCTTAAAGATACATTTAAACAAATGAAATAAATTGTTAATCTTGTGGATAATTTTAAAAGTTTTCAGTTGTTATAAATAAGCAATTAATTTTATTTTTGCATTTATAATATTTAACCTATTTCTAGGAAGTAGATATAAATTGCTTAGATCACGCTAAAAGTGAAAGTAGCCATATCTATCAATTTATCAACTGCAGAATTACCTAATGTGATAATTATATAGTCCCTACAATATAGATAGTAGATTGTTCAGTAAACTGTTACTAACCACAGAGAGTTCTTGTTGAAGTACGATGTTGTGTGTAATTTAAAACAAAAATGTATCGATGAAAAAATAGTGTTTTGGTTTATGTATTGGGAGAGTTTTAAGCAACGCTTTTCCTTCAGCAGTGAATGAGTCAAGTCTTTAAGGCTAGGTATTTTTACAGCCTACTTTAGTTCCAGGCTCTGTCATTTCTGCTTATATTGAAAACTGAACTCCATGGGAGCAGAAGAAAAGCCTTGGTATTATTCAACATGATTAAACTCTGACTTATTCTGAAAGGAAGGGCCTTTTCTGGCCTGAAAATCATATAAAATACTGAATCCCATCCTTTATCTGTTTAATGTCTTGTGATTTCCCGTTTACAGTTTTGAACAGCTCCCTTTTAAGGGAAAAAATACAGTAAGTGTTCTTTCAAGACAGCATTTGGCTTTTAATATTTTCAGGCTATAGGGATAGAATTTTCCTTCTCTTTCCTTGCATATGAACTGTGACTATTCTCATGCTGCTTCTGTTCTTTATCCCATGCAGAAAAGATCTTGCTTTTCTTAGACAATAGGTAATGTAATACAAATTTAGCATAATGTTCCTTGTTTTTTATATGTCTCTTCTGAAGCCTGAAGCATAATTTTCAATATTGCAATTAAAGTTTTGTTCACTTATTATTCTATCTGAGGTTTGTCATGGAGGCAACTAAGTTCTCTCATTGAATTGGTGCTACCTCTTTTATGAGAATTCCTATAGCTTTAGCGCACTTGCATCGTGGTTAAATTTGTGCTTGAGAGTATGTGTGTGCATGGCTGGTGAAGGGATTTTTTTTGAGCAGGGGGAAAGGGTGTTTTTTTTCTTTTTTCCAGTTGAACTATGCTACAGGGAAAACATACCACTTCAGCATATGTCACCCACTAATCATGGTTCATTCAGTTCTTAGTTAGCTGAAAGTCTAATGAGAATTTTGCTTCTTATTTCACTGGAAGTAGAATTGCACCCATAAAATTTCAATACTGTAATTCCATGCATATGTAGTCACCAAAAGCCAGTTTAAGTCCACTCTGCCAAGAGGGGTAATTTCTCCTTTACTTCACCACTCACCTCATATTTCTGTCCTCAAGGTTTTGCCAGAGGTCACCTTTGCATGCCTGTCCCTGTAGCCAGAGTAGGAACTTGACCTGGTTGAACACTGAGCAAGCGAAGAGAAATGCTGGATCAGCCTGATTTCTCATACAGTCACATGAACACTACTTGCAGCAGGAGGGAGAAGACAGGAGTGAACAGAGGCTACTGAAACAGAGATCTTTTATATGTCATTTGCTGTTGTTTAGTGAAGCACTTATGTTGAATCAGCCTGAAATGTTGTTTTCTGTAGGTGACATTCTCACTGCCCTAACTAATGTCTCAGGACGTAAACACCCATCAACGGTTCAGGCCAAACAACTGAAGATGTGCCTTCCTATGATGCCTGTAGTGCTTCACCTTGTGACATCCCAGGTAGTTTCCCCCCCCCCCCAGATTTGTTAAACAAAGGACAAACTTATATTTTCTCAGAATCTAATTTCTACTGATTGCAATCAGAACGAATAAAATTGAACTGTTGTTAATGTGTAGGTATGTTGATGAGTATTCCAGCTAAGAAACAGCATTAAAGACATCTGACTTTTGTGCATCGTAAAACATCTCTAGTGATAGCAGCAAATACATATTTTGTCCTCTTTTTTCTTTAATATGTGAAATAGTTGGTTTACTTTTTCTGGTCATAAGATACGCATTTAACCGTTTTTTTTCCAATTTTGGCTAAATTCAAATAGGTATTTCGTCCCCAGATAGTCACAAAGGAGTTTCTTTTCAACTATGGCACCTTACTTGTGAGTATAACCATCTAAGTTAAATATTTTTTACAATACCTATGCATAAAATTTTGGGAATTGCTTTAATGTAATAAAATTACATTAAATTTCTAAGTTGGAGAGAGGACTTTTTTCTGAACATATGTTTTAAGCTTTGATTATATACAAAACTTTATTTATAATCAGAAAATATTTTTGGGTCAAAGGGAAACTCTGCACATATTTGATAAACTGAGAATTTCTTGTGTGCTTTATTATAGAGTATAAAAGTTTAGCTCCAAATTACACAGAATATTCTCTCTAGAATTTCATGCCAGTATTTTTTGAGTAGAAATGAAAGATAAATTTTATAATCTAATCTATATTTTTGGTTTTGTTTCCTTTTGTCACCTTTTTCTTCTTGCCAGTACTTTTACACTGTATTTAGTTGATGAAAAGCTATGGAGCTAAGATATTTGTCTCATGTTTACATCTATAACCTATTTATGACATTAGCTATAAAAAATTAATTTTTTAACAGTGCCATAGGATAGTATAGCAGAAATGAAGTAGTATAGTTCTAATGTAATTTCATATGAAAACAGTTGTTTTTGCTAAATGATGATAAAAGAATATTCTAAAATTGTGTTTTCAGAGTTAAGCAAATACTTTTAAGTACATGAGTTCATAAATGACAACTAGGGATTTACCTCCACAAAAGCATGAAGAAATGCTTTACTACAAACAATTAGATTCAAGTTATATGTTCAGATTCCCTTCTCTTTCTCCTTTGAGTCTTGATTCCAAGAAAATGTGAGTTTAATTTAGCTCTACTAAAATATTTGTATAAAAATTATCATTAAAATGGTGAAAAAAAATTGAAACTGTAGATCTTGAATTACAAAGCCCTTTATCCCTTTGAAGCGTTTGTAACTAAGTATTAAACTTATTAATAGTTTTCAATCAACCTTCTCGAAGGTGAAATTCTTCTGTCAACAATTTAGGTACAACAGACCAGTTATAATGTAAGTTTTCTTTTGATGTTACTCCAGCTTGTTTGAAGTATTGATTGAGGAAGTCAGGCTAGTTGTACTAGCACTGCTTTCCTCTCAAATCAAGGAGCAGCAGATTACTCAGTATTTCCTGCATCTTGTTCTGTCTCCATTGAAAAAGGCAATTCAGGATCTTACATACACTACTTTAATTTACACATGAAAAAGGGGGGGAAAGTAGTATATCTGAAAAATTAATATCACATTTTAATCCATTTTATGTAACTGTGTAACTGTGTTATTATATGACTAATATAATTGCATCTGAAAGAGTAACTATCCATTCTGTCAGGCAACTCTGGAATTTTGTGTTTAGCAACATTCCCACTGACATCTCTAAAGGGACATTCCATCATCAGCTTGTACTTTTTCAAAGTACCGTGCTATAACTGAGGCCTCTAAGACTTTAGCAAGTCAGTCTTTCAGTTTTTGTTTGTTTCGTTCTTTTTCTTTTTCCTGATTTATTCAAAAATCTTACTCTTAACAATAAGAAATTACAAGGAGCGGAAAAATGTTTGGTATCTGGAAGGAAAAGTTATTTTCCTGCAATGGTTGTTCATGGAGAATTTTTTTCTTGCTGCTTTGAAGTTACTTCTATCATCACTGTAATTTTCAGTAGCGTTGAGCAAAGAAATTGAGAGGGAGTCAGGACAGTCCTTTCATGTTTTCTGCTGTGAATATAAATACATGGAGGATCCACTGTGCCCCAAAGGCACAGCTAATGGCAGGCTCCTACTGCTCAGAATCACCTGTAGTGAAACACACATACACCATTTCTCTCCGTTGCTTAAGAAACCCCAGATAGTTGTATTTTTCTTAAATTAGTGCATCTCTTTCTTGTGTTTCTAATACAAAGTTAAGGAAATAAACATTAGTAGCCAGAACAAATTTTGCACCAACTACTTTGATTTTTCCAAATTAGTTTTGAGACTATGGTGGTGTGAAACTGTCTTAAAATGAACAAACAAAATAATTTGCCCTCTTCCAAAACTACTTAATTAGATAATACCTAGTAATTTTTTTTCAAATGATCAGGAAGATAACTTTTTTCTTATAGAAGCAGTTGTTGTTTATAACTGCCTCTGAGATGCTTTTAAGCAATGAAATATATAATTAGTGTCTAACTCTATTTTTAATTAGAGAAGAATCCTTCAGATGTTTCTTACATACTGTGAAAAAAGATAACTCATGTAGATACTTCTGCCAATTTAATATGAAATAACGAAATTTTAAATGGTAGTGAAATATAAAACAAGTACCATTTTCTTAAATGCTGTGTTAGTAAAAAAGAATTCTACAAATTCTGCTGAGAATTTTCCTTCCTTAGCAAATGTTAATAACATGGCTTTTGCATCCCCATGAAATAAACAGCTATGCATAGAAATGAAAGCAAAATAATAGTGAGTCTAATTGTAAAATATTTACTTAACCCAGATTATTAATATTGTCTTGCCCTGTTCCTTAAAATGGTGACTAATTTAGGTGATTATTTTATAGAAAGTTGTATGCATTTTTTACATGTTCTTCTGTGTGTAACTGTATCTATAATGTTTGTAGTATGCATGGAGATCAAAAAGATGGTACAAATAACAGAAAATTGCATTTTCTGAGGGGTCTTTGGTCATTTTAGTGAGTTATTTTGACATAGCCATTTCCAGGGTAGTTCAAAGTCTTCTAAGAAATTACAGTTTTCTGTTAAAAATAAAGACATTTCATTACTGTCTATTTAGCTGGAAATGCTATAATTCCTGATATTAGTCAGAGTAATAGTCCTTACTGTACTCCACATTTAAATGTCCAGCAGCATTACAGACTTGCAGAATTAGAACAGCTAGATCATTAGTACTTTCAGTCTTAATTAATATGAAAGTATTTCTATAGGTGCATTAACATTTTGTATTTACACAGTTCTTTAAAGAATTTCCTGTTGTAACTGTTCAGTGATTATGCTTCCTAATTTTTGTTCCTAAAGTGTTTTAACATAAATGCTGCTTCTTTTGTAGGAGTTCATCAGATCGATAGAATCAGGAGAAATAAACTTGGACAGAGCAATAGGTGAGGTAACCTATGATACTGCAGTACTTTAATATGCAGGTATTATAACGGTTGCATTTTATAAGGAAATATGATTTTTTTTACCATTAGGGCAAGCTGCATCAGAAGAATTTATTAAGACTACTTTCTTGACCTTTGAAGCAGTAACAGAGCATCCCAGCTTGTTGACAATCCATCACTTGACTGTAAGTGTGGCAACAATTTAAATAGTTGCGGGCTAGCAGGCCTAATTCCATTTATAAATAGGATATTTTGAAGATCTAGAAACTGTTTAAAATACGGCTTAAAATGTATTGTGATTCTATTTGACAGGAAAAATACTTGTTGTTTATAGAGAGATTTTCAAAGAAGCAGCAAGGCATTCAGACTCCGTTTACTGTATTTAGTTGGGAAATTAGAGCAAGAATTAGAAGGACTTAAACTTTAAAAGTAGTGTTCTTGTTTCTGTAAGTCTTTCTTCAGCTTCAAAGCAAGTGTATTGCTATGTATTAGTGAAAATATCACCACTATATTTGTCATTATGCTTTTAACATAGCTTGGAAAGACCACCTCAGGATTGATCCCATTCCATCATATTCTTCCTGATGAGATCATCAGTTTCAGTTATGGTGTTGAGGTTTTTTTGTTGTTGTTGCTGTTTGCTTGCTTTTTTAAGTGTAACAGATTTCTTACTCAAAAATTGCATTACAATTACCAAACCCACATGCTATAAGTTTCTTACATCACTAAGGTTTGGTTTTTTTGAAGTTTTTGGTTAAAAGATTCTACTGTTAGCTAAGCTAGCTGAAGACAGAACAATTATGTCATGAAACAGTTGTCAGGAAATCAGGAGGTCTGAATGTTTGAATCAGTGTTTGACAAATCATTGTAACCTATACCAATGCATTTTTGTGCCTGAATTCCCACCAAAAGTATAACCCACCATACTTACTGGGATGACTATTTGATTCAAATTGAAATTTATGTGTTGTATTGGAATTAGGTTAAAGGCACACTCAATATAGCACTTATATGAAGAAAGGCATTAGCAAATAAATAAGAATGACAGATCTTAGGGATTGTGCTAAATAAGAATGGGTGATCTTAGAAATTGAGTATTTCTAGAAGTTGAATTCTATTTGATGTGCACATGTTTAGATTATAAAGTCTTAATAAGTGAAAATAGTAAAATTAATCCAAAATATAAATTTGAATTTAAATAAGTTTAATGGGATTTTTTTCATTATGCTCACAAAAGAGTGTATTCAAGAAAATGATCCTTATGCAAAAAAGCTAACCAATTAATAGTCAGAGGAAAAATAGTACAGAACTGAACAGTTCAATTTACTTTAAACTAATATGGCAAATAATGTCCTAGGAAGGAAATGTTAAGTGTAGGTGAAGTATGAATGCCTGCTGATATCTCCCTACATGCCTGTCAGCCTGCCTCTCACTGTGTTATATCTGTATCATTCTAGAATCACCTCAATTTTAAAAAATAATTGCTTTACTTTTGTGGGTTATCAGTGTGTCTTATAGTGACAGAAATATGTACCGTTTTTTGTGGGAGTCCATCAACATTTACTGAGATAACAATAACGTGTGTCAGCACATTAAATAAAATTCTCCTACCTGTTTAAGTTTTAATGGTCTGGGGGGGGGTTCCCTGGAATAGCACCAAGGAGATAGTTCCTCTTTACAATTCTGCACCAATCCCCACGTTCAGTAGAATGTTTTAGTGAAGCCAGAGAGTGGCTGTCCTAGTCTCTGTTAAGTAACCTGTGGCTGGCAGTAGATGAGTTTTGAAGTATCTAGATTTCTGGGGAACAGTTTACTTCATCTCACGTGTTGGAAGTTTTAGATGTTTATTTTAAATCCATCTGAGCATATCAGTTACATAGCTAGAGATAAAACTTCCTCCCTGACCAGTGCTTGTCCAGTACTTCTGAGGCGTACTACTTTTGTAGTTTCCCTGATTTACAGTAGATGTAGATTTACATCCTTGTCAATGAACAGCTTTTTTTTTTTTTAGAAAGTCTATTACTTCACTCACTCATTTTCATAAATAACAGTTCTTCGTAATTTAAAAGAGCCCTTCTGATACTCAGCAAATAATCATTCAGACTCAAACTAAAGTGGAGAAATCGCCTTGCATTTTCTATGTTAAATTCACGAAATTGTCCATCGTAATTAATAATCTCTAACCACATCTGCCACTAGTGGTGTGAACAGTAATTAGTTTAATACTATTTATGAAGTCTAGTGTGCTAATTATACTTGAATGTGCAGCATACATTACTTTAGAGGAAAGTGATACTTCATCTTCTATGATGCATACAGACTATTTTTGGAATTGTTGTTACTCAGGGGATATCTTCTAATTGCTTCTATGTGAGCATGACTGGAATCTATGAATATAAATGCCAGCATCCAGTAGAACTTTGTGCGTTTTTAAAATGTTGAAGCAAGACACGTTCAAGCTTCCAGATCAATATTTAAGTATAACAGTGGTTAATAGGAAACTCTTTTACTGGAGAGAAATTTGAATCCTAGGCTAAGATCAGAAGATTGGATGCTCATTTAGACAAAGTTGGTTGCAAAGACGATTTTGGGGAGTGGGGCTGAGGAAAGGCCAAAACCTTCTTGAGAGGATGCATTTTTTTCTACAGTGACACTGCTTTAAAGTCTCTAACAAGAAATAAAATGCATTTTTAATGATGTTTAATTTAATAAAAAGTAAGGTTATATTTAGCAAGCAGAAACAGAAAGTTTTTCAGTTGAGTTCTGGTTTTAGTTTAGCTGCAATGGAAATTATATAGTTTAGCGGGAATTTAGGAGCAACATCTCAGGTTCTTTCCCACTTTGAAAAGCAAAGAATTGCTTGTTCTGGATTTTAGTTAATGTTTGATTTGCCTTTGTATTTGTACTTTGAACCAAGAAAAAAAATAATTTTTTTGTGACCAAATTTCTGATTACCATCAACTTGAAGCCAATTATTGAGGAGCTTCATTTCTGTTGGGAGTGACTGTATTAGATATGGCAAAGTGTGATAAAGTCAACAGAAATTAATTGAAAGTGCTCAAGTGAATGCCAGCAGTGAGCAGTAATTTCATTTTGCTTGCAGTTGTGTGCATTGTTACAAGATATAAAGACTAACAGTTTGTGTGACTGTGCAGTTTTTGACAGAACTAGATTTTCGGGTATGTGATTATAATGATGAAGGTCATCAAGAAGAGTCTCTACAGACTGGATTGAAATATAAACCCCAATTTCTCAAACTGGCAGAAGGCCAATTGCCTGTTTCCTCCACCTGCCTAAAATGGAAAAATATTTATTAAATTCAGATACTAAGTGTTATAATAATATTGTTTATCCAATTTTTGATAAATATTTAGATATAATTAAGTTGAAATATTCTGTACTGACTGTATCATTTGCATTTTCCTTTTCTATGTTAAGTATATTTATTTGCCTGAAAAAAAGACATATGATAATTCAGAGCACTTAGAGCAGTGATGAGGCTCACGATGGCAGGTGGTTCCTGTGGGAGTCCTTTCTACACTCTAACTAGCTCCCAAAAATGATTTGTGTAATGCACAGATGATCTTTTACCCGAAGCATGAAAGTTGTTATCTGGTTAAGGCAAAAGTTGTCAGCAGCGATTCTCTTCCTCAAGGTTTTAAAACTTATTTTATAAATCTCGCTAAAATAAAAGCACCCCGAACATGATGAGTTGCTTGATAGGAAGTCAAGGGAAAAGCTATATGACATGGAAATCTACTGTTTGACAATATGAGAGTTATTACTTTCACCAAAGATGACAACATAAGGGTTAGAAACTTCTGCAAGTGCTTTTTTCTTGATTCAGCATCAGTGATGTTCTTCATCCACAGGCTGTTCTGATCTAACCACTGACACCTTAGTTTTGTCAATATAGGATATGACTATATGAACATATTGTACAGAATTTTTTCAACCACTTTCCCTTTTCAAGTAGATGAAAATTCTACACCCCATGTGGCTTTCTGTCCGTTAAACTAATCCAGATGACATGAGACTTTTTTGTGAAACCATTTCTCTACTAATTGACATACTGAGTCGGTCAATCAGTGCTGTCTCTTCCCAGAAGAAAAAAACAACCCTCAATGAGGATTCTGAAGTTCTGAGGAATTTTAAATAAAAATTACACAAGTGTCATCCTTCTTCCCAATCCATTCTAACATGCATTGGATTATTTTTTCTATTACGTTCTGAGAGATTACTGGTGATATTAAAACATAAGGTGTATGCTGTGCCACCAGCAAATGCTTTAAGAAACGTGAATGCGGGACAATCTTAATTCCATAGTCACTTTCAGCAGTACCTTTTTATGTGGAATTTTAATGAGAATAAATGTGAAGCTGCTGCTGATGTAGCTCTGACACGTGACTGGAAAAAAAGTTTTGGGAGCTGATGGTCTTCACTTTGGTATGTTCTGCTTTGAAGAAAGGACGAGAAGATATTTCTCAGTAGAATCACAGAGTATTTTGAGTTGGAAGGGACCCACAAGGTCAAGTCCAAGTCTTTATTGAATGGCCAGTTGTAAGTTAAACAAAAGCACACCAAACCAAACAAGATACTTCTAGAAAAATCTCTGAAAGTAATGAACATAGTTATTTGTGAATTTGGATACAATAGCTGCATATAATGAATAGCATAGTTTCTATATGTAAGCTTAATTCTGTGGTCTGATTTTCACTTGAGAACAGCATGGCTCTCAAATGGACCAGGCTTTAAGGCTGCTTACCTTTTGTGTCCACCCAGTGTCAAGGCTTTGGTCTTAAGCACTGATTTGAAGAGGTCTAAAACTTAGTTTTAATTAAGGGAACTATTTTGTTTGTTATTGGTAATGTTAATCATATTAAGGCAAGTTCTGTGGCCTTGAGAAGAGGGTTAATATGTCCATATAAACATTGCCTGAGTTATAGGGGATAATGGGTAACTTTGGTTATATGCTAGTTCATTAATACATGATGGTTGCATGTATACGTTCAACAGTTGAATTCATCCTTGCTGTGTAGCACAGGTGAATGGAATTTTAGTTCTCCACCTTCATTCTTAGGGGGTACCTCCCACTAAATAGGGATTAGTGCGTTGGATCCTTCCACTGTGAGCCCTTGCAGTGTTACAACTGCTTTATAGTGGGTACTTGTGGAGCCTGGACTTTGCTTGGTGAGGTTAAGTAAAGCTAAGGCAATGTTTGTTTCTAACAAAACTGGCACATATATTTAGGGTGCAGGACTCATGTCTGACATCTCCGGAACAGTGGAGACATGTAGAGAAGGACTGAAATTACAGTTCTCTCTTTCAAGCCCTTCCTAGTAGGTGGTGAGTACTTCACTGCTCTGAAACTGTAGCTTGTCCCTCTTTCTTCTTTGAGGATTAAAGTAGCATGCAGACTCCAAAGATCTGGGGTTTGTACATAATAAAATAATGTTGAAAAGTGCATACAGCTTTTGCTGGGTGCTCATACCTCATTAGTAGAGTTTTCCTTGCAGAAATTAGTGAACATTATGGAGACAGATGTTTTGGTTTCAGATAGAATACTTGAATTTCCAAAAAGGTTTTGACAAAGTCATGTACCAAAGACTTCATATCCATTAGTGGCCCTTCCCTCTTGCCCTCAAACAGATCAACTTCTAACTAGTTAAAATTTACTAAGTTGAGAATAGAGATCAGTTTTTAAAAATTTAGGTATTTTAAGAGTGTTACATTACAAAGATGTGTTGCAACATGTGCTACTTACAACTAATCCAGAAAAGGAAGGTGACTGAACTAACTGATGACACTAAATTATTCACATCAGTGAAAATTAAAACTGACAGAGAAGTTGCAGAAGGTTTCCAGATACATAGTGAAAGGAAAATAAAATTACATGCAATTCAATACTGATAAACGTCAAATAATGCACATGGGGGAAATAATTTCAACTGTGCTTACACAGTGTCAAACTTTAAACTACTTGAAACTGTTCTGGAAATCTTTTAGCATCATTTTTCTGTGGAAATGGTAACTTTCTACTCAGCAGTAATCAGAAAGACAACTAGATTATTAGGAAGGACTAGTAAAAGATCAGACAAAAAAGTAGAAAAAAATCACTGTACCATGGTAATATCACAGTGCCCTCAAGCCTCAAATACTGAATGCAGTTGTGGTCATTCACTCTGAAAGGGAGTGAAGCTTACCAAGAAAAAGTACAGGGTGGTAATGCAAGGAGGGCCTGAGACAGTAAGACCTTCAGCTTGGAAATAAAAAATTCCAGAGTATTGTATTGCAAATAGCCTGGGAAAGTTGATTCAGAAATAATTATTCATATTGTAAAATAAGAATATGTATCAAATTAGCTGCTTTAAAATAAGCAAGGATGTGTTTTTTCATAAGGCAAAATTGAAGAGTAAAATTCAGTGCCATAGGTATTGTGTGTGCTAAAATTATAAATACATTTAAGGTAGGATTGGACAAATATTTGGGAGAAAAGTTTAAATGCAAAAATACAGGTACAACATCAGCATAGGAAGTCTCTTAACTCAAGAACTACTTTACTAGAAACTAGACTTGTGCTTTAAGCTTGGTCTGTTTCTCCTACTCCTTTCTACTCCTTTCCAGTTGTCAGAAACAGGATTATCAGGTTTGAGCTATGTTTTTGTTTGGTCCTGTACTTATGTATTATAGTTTGAAGATGTGAATGTAGTGTGTATGGAAGTTTTAATATTTCATTGCAATTTTGGATACTGATGACAGCACAGTTATGACAGCACAGCTTTTGAATGCCATCATTACAGAGAAATACAATGTTGGCTTTGGACAGTTAGGTATTGATCATGAACTGGATATCAGGCTATTTAAAAAGGTAGGAACTCTTATGATATACAGATATGATCATATTCAACCTATCTAAACTTGTTTAAGTTTAGACTTAAACAAGAGTGTTTCCTTTTTTTTGAGCAATCTTAGTGATAAAGACTGAAACAAAAAAAACTGTATCTGACTGTCTTCATGCATATATGGAGATTTGATTCCACATGAACATCAGAAGCCATTTAAAAAAAGAAGGAATGAGTGCTTGTTTGAGTATTCTTCTTTGCCAAAATACTAATACTATGCTTCTCTATGAATAAATGGCCAAAACATTTGTAGTTTACTGGTGAATTTATTAAAAATACTTTATGTACTATTACACTTCAGTTTATTTCATCTCAATAATTACTTGCAAAGTTCATATCTTGTTTACATATTTGTGTACACACTAGTAAAATGGAAAAATTAGTGAAAAAAACAGTGACCCAAATGGCATGGAGAGAAGATTAGGGCTGTGGAGTTAGGAAGTACCTGATTTAATGTTCATGTAAAATTGAATACATGATTTTCCCTTCAGCATATGCATTCTGATATGCTTTTGCATAACAAAATAATTTTTCATAGGATTAGTGCTTTATTTAGTTGATCTCCCCACCACACTTAGCTGACATGAGGCAAACACCTGCCATGGGGAATTCAGTTCTAAACAGTTTGTTTGCCAAAACTGAGATTTTTGTTAGAAAAAGTTCAGAAAAATCTACTACAGTTATTTAAGATCTAAAGAATCTTCTTTACAATGACAGTTGAAAATACATTTATCTTAGAAAAGACTTATGACTGGATTAACTGCATTCGCTAATGTGGAAAGACTGCTGTTAATACTAGATTAAAGTGAAAGAAGATTTTAAGTTTTAGAAATTGGAGTTGCATCATACTGCTGTATCTTAATTGGTATAAGTCTAAGTCAGTGCTCCTGCTGTTGAATGATTCGTAATATCCAAGGACCCTACGTTGCTTCAGATAATCAAGAACTGCTTCTTTTCCTCTTTTCTGTCTCACGCCTTTAATTTACCACTTATGTGTGCCTCTTCATTTACGAAGCACTGCAGTAGGTTGAACTGGTTTCTTGGACTGAAAGATCTCAAATGCATACCTTTTTTTTTTTCCTGCCTCACTGGTGTGCTATAACTGATACTTTGCCATTTGTAGAACAGCTCAGAAACTTGCATTAATGGAGTTGTTGGAATGCAGTGTACTTTTATTATTTAACTGAAAAGACCATGAAATATTTCAAAATCATGAAGTGTTACAAAAGTCACTACAGCTATGAGATATATCGTTATCTATATAGGTCTTGCTGCTTGTACTTGCAAGAGTAGTTTGACTTCATATCTCAAGCAGAATCCTTTTAACTCTTTTATTGAAAGTATGGAACAAAGGCATTTTGTAGTTTTTTTCATAAGTGAAAAAAGCTAGAGTAAATGAATCCCTTAATGTCAGGGATTAATTTAGCAGAGTCCACCAACCAGCAATGAAATAGTTGCTAACTGCAGTTATTGGTGGCTAGAGGCTAACTTCATTTAGTGACCTTTTTCATATATACTTTCAGCTTCTGTAGATGTTTCCTATTAGTAGCTGCATACTTCTAGGGAAATTTTATCTTCTAGTATTAATTACTGAAACAAAACACATGGGGGATTATAACACAGTCTTCTTATGCCAAATTCTGTCCACAGTGTAGTGAGAATGTATGCAGCAATTTTATTTGTATTAATAAATCCAAGGACAAGGTGTGCATCATTTTAACAAAGACTTAGCAATTCTTTTATAGAGAATACTAATAATACACTATTTTGTAACTGAACTATAGACTAGTTTGTCATCAGTTGATTTCCAATGGAGCAAAGCTGGCTAGTCCTGTGACAGATGATGCATTTGTAACAATACCCTCATGGACAATAAAGAGTTGACTGGATTATATTTTTTTGTAGTGCAAATCTTATGTATGTGAGTTTAAATTTTAGTGGAAAACTGTGTATTACCAGAGTGGAGGAAGTTAAAATTTTTTCAAGAATCTGTATTAAGCTTAGGGATATTTAATTAAGAGGTAGTACATCTTTCCTGGTGTATCTTAATTCTATGCAGTTCTGTTTTAGCAGGATGTTTCATCTGAACTTTATTCAATGATTAGTTTATTGATTAACGCATTGGGCTTAAGATACTCTACTACTCTTTTTTCTTAATATCTTACATCTTCAGTGACTTCTTTATTTTAAATTCAAATTCCCTGTCCAAGAATTATACCAATGTTACTGTTGTTTTCTATGTCAAAGTACATTAACGTCTCTAACTTATGGCAGTTTACCAGCGAAAAATTAACTTGGTGGCTTTGTAAGTGTGATTATGGATGAATATCCATGATTATTCATCTCTTTGATTAAGGGCTCTAGCAGTGGAATAAACATGGATGATAGTGTATCTCTGGTCTATTTTTTTCATCTGTGAATAATCTAAACCAGATCTCTGTTTTAGGTTGAAGACCGTATCCTCCCACCACTGGTTTCTTTGGTCCACAGTCAGAATGGTAAGTATACGGGCACATCAGCTACAGTTTCCATGAATTCCACATTTTGTTGTAATTATGCTTCAGTGTGGTCACATTCTTGGCATCTTTATTTTCAAGTGGAATGGAGACTCTTCAGCTTGCGGTTGCTCTCAGAAACCACATCACTGCTTTTAAGCCACGAGGTCATGGATGAGGAGAAAGGGGAGAGCCTCGACTCAAACAGCAAACTTCTGTCTCTCATTAGAGATTTATTGCTGCCTCAGTAAGTATAATATTGCTCCTGTAATGGGGAATAACTTGATATGCAATCCATTTTGACAGTGTATTTGTTTTAACTACCCTTTTTATGTTTAAATGGCAAAGCAAAAGAGGAATCGCAGTTAACTGCTGCCAGAGTTCTCTGCCCAACATGTCCGCCTAGGTTTATTTAGGATTTTGACATGTACAACACAAACACAACTTCTGTGTGACACTCATTTCTGATACTGTGCCTCTGGCTGCTCTTGAAGCAAAGCAAGATTCCCCCTAGCTTTTGGGCTGTGATTTAAATACTACTCTTTGTTCTGCTAATAAAGTTAGAACAGTCTAACTACAACATCTTTTTGTCTGTTTTGGATATTGTGCTTTCATGTAAGATGTTCTGATATCATATGGAACAACAAATAACTTTTTGAAAAGGAGTAGTACATGAGGTATTAATCCTTCATGGTTCACCCAGATGTGGCCTGGAAATTCATTTACAAGGGCTATGGTCAAATGAGGCCTCTCATTTCATGCTGACTTGCAGGTGAGCACAAAGACAGCTTTCTGTGTTATGCTGACTGTGACCTGGTAACATCTGTTACCAGAGGGAAAGAAAGCACGAACATAAAATGAGTACAGTAGTGATAAGTCATCATTCATATTTTATATTATTCTAATAATAGTACAGTGTATTTTCAAGTGTGGTTCTCAAAAGTGATGAATACTTAGCTGCCCTAAGTGAGAAAATTGTTCCCCCCCCTACATTCAATAGATGGCAGAAGGCTGGAGGAATGGATGCTGGATTATGATTAGAAACACAGTGCCTTCTCCAAACATGAGACTTGTTTCTTGCTAATTGAATAGTGCTCTTACAGTTTGAGGACCAAAGTTTTATCCATGCAAGACATGTAAACTTTTCTCTATGACAGAGAGCTGGAAGAACATCTTAAGAGTTCTAGAGAGAAACTTTCACACCTTTCTTCACATTTTTTTCCTCTGGGAAATATAGAATGTATCAGTACAAATTAAAATGGCAGCTGGAAACATTACTTTTAAAATAGAGTATATGCATTATTAAAAGCTGTCAGGTAATTTTCTTCAGATAGGGGAAGAGACCTGGAGTCAAGGGAGACAGTTTCCTTGCTCTGAAACTTGCCCTTGTCCATCTTGTCCTTGAAACATGTCGATCTTATACGATGTTTCTCATTGACCTGGAGGATGTGTGTTTGGAGGGGTGTGTCATGTTAATTACAACCAGAAGGAAAGCAGCCAGTATAATACTGTCTCGGAACTTATTAGCTCAACTGGGTGGCAGGGCTTTTTGGTCTGAAAGTAAATATGATTTTATGTTGGGGACTGAACCTGTGCTATCTTCGCACGCGTTATGTTGTATGAAAGTATGAGAAAGGGTCTTGCAGCAGCTCAGAATCTTGGTTCCAGGCTTTAAGATTCAGTGTAACCTACTTGTAAAGATAATGTAAAGCTCTATCCCAAGAAGTATGGGTTACTTGAAAACTGAGAACATTTGGAGGCTGAAGAGATGTTTGCTGATGTTTAGTCTTTCTGTTGCTGGGTAAAGGATGGGACAGAGTGGGACAGCTGGAAGACAGTCAAAAAAGGGGAGGTATGTGATGGCTATTTGTTCATGGGCAGTCTGTGTGGGAAAGTGGATATTTCAATCCCTTTTGAGCCTACTGAGAACTGAGAGCTGTTGAATATGGAAGGGAGGGACATCTGGGTTTAATATGTGATTTTTTTTACTAAAGATTATAATCATGCACATTTGTGTATATATTTCATTCCTATAAATATCTTCCTCAAATTAATTTGTTTAAATGTTAAACTGACCCTTGAAATAGAATGTGGCTCACTATGCATGAAATATAAATGGACTTCATTTTGAGATATATGCAGGAGTGCAGTGATTACCACTTTGTTCTCATCTTCTGCATCATCAATAAAATGGTAATTCCATTAAATATTTCTGCATTTATAGATTAGAAAGTTAACTTCCTCATTGGGTTTTAATTGAATAGAATGAAATAGTGTCATAAAATTTCAGTTTACTATACTGAAAGGTCATTCCCCTGAGCGTTTCATAACCAAAATGAAACTTGCAGCTATAGACAATGAATACATGGCAAATGCTTTATATTCAGTTCTATTTAATTTTAATTCTTGATATTCCTAGTTATATATCATTTGAAAATTGAGCCAGAACCAGCAAAATAGAGGAATGTGTAAATAAATTTTATTTCATTTGAAAGATTATGTAGCTTGTTCTTAGTAGACTGCTAAGCCATTTCTCCAAGTATGAAGTTCAAGAGACTTGACATAATGTTCACTCTTTTTTAAGATCTTAGAGGAGTCCATATCGCTAAATCTTTAGGTCTTTTTGTCATAATTGTTTATAGAAAAGATTGACAAAATTAACTCCCTACAGTGTAGTACCTGGAGTTTACAGTGTAGTACCTGGACTTTATAGAACCCTTATAAAATGTCCTCTACTGTTACTAAACTGTTTTGTATTTTGAAGTGGCAGTGCAATCATTTGATGACTCATTCATTTAATAAAGTATCTCAAGCACAGAGTATTTGCCCTTCAGAGAAGATTCATATATTCAAAGCTCCTATTAGCCTTTAGTTAGGCAATGTGTTTATATTAATTGCCAAGACACTGACTCTAGTAATCTGTGTCTGAGTCACCTGATAGCATCTTTGCTTGCCTTGGAAGATTTAGTCATGGACTCTGCAAAAAAAAATTGCAAATAGTACCATTATGTTTCATAGGAATATGTATTGCTCACACATAGGGCTTTTGGGATCAGTGTCTACTAATGCATTGGAGTATTTTCTTCTTTTATGAAGGAAGGGACTTTTTAATCACCAGTAAGAAATCATTTTCTTTGAGGAACTGGAATCTGTTATTTCTAAAAGGGAGATTTTAATCACTAAAGACATGAAGTCAACACTGACTTGTAGCCACTAGTTCAGTAGATACTGAGATGTGGTTTGCAACTCTACAGTAGTACCTTCAAGTTAGTGTGTAGTAGCCATGACGCATTGCCCATAGGCTATGTAGGAATGTTAGCGCCTGTGAAGGAACTCCCTGTGGCAATGAATTTGCCATATACAATATGGAAAAAGTCCTGCCAGAAATGGACTGGTGAGGAAAACAGCTCAAACCCTATGGAAACAGAAGTTTTTACTGTAGTTTAAACATGTCTCAACATGTTTGTGTATTTTCTGCAGTGTCACTGTATCCCTCTCCCAAACACCCCCTGTGAAGCTATTGTCTCCCATACAAGGTGTCCTGGGAAGATGTCCCGAGGTGTCCCATTGGTCCTTTGTTTAACCCCTTCCTATTGGCTGTTGACCCCTTACCTGATGGTTTCTTTTGTGTGACCCTGAACTTGTGATTGGTCCCCTTTGACCTTCCTAAAAGCCTTATAAACCCCAACCCCACAATAAACTTCCTCTTTCGTCCGTCCCTCCCAGGTGGTCTGTGTGTGCTCCTTGCGGGGTCACCGGGCCACGTGCAGGGGTGGGGGGAAGGGCATTCACCTCGCAGGTAATGGGGCTAGCAGCTTAAGGCCTGGAGGTCTCCCCCTATCCCTCAATTCGCCGTAACTCCCACAGGTTCCATCAAGACTGCATGGCTGGTGTGCTTCTCCCTCCTTGTCAGAGACCAGATCGGAGACTTGGCTGGAAAGCACCTCATCTCCTTCTAGACTTCCTTCCAGCATAAATCAGAGTGCTGAGGTGTGGTGTGCCTGCAGAGAGGGGAAGAGCTAGCACGTAGTAGAGTATGTCAGCACACAGGTGGTGGGAAGTGATCCAGATTCCTCAGTTCAGGCAGCACTAGGGATCTGAAGACGTGAAGTAAAATTCTCAGTGAATTGCATTACTCCACCCCCTCCCCCCATCAGAACACTACAGTTTTTTTCTTTTTGTGGAAGCATTTTTTTTTACATATAACCTACCACATTTTCCTACAAATCATCCTTTCATTTGTACTTGATTAATTCTTCATGGTTTTTCTTTTACAAATGAGATTTATACTTCCTGTTCTATTACTTCCACATGTTTAGAGTAGCACTATTTGTAATGAAACACTGTGTTTTGACATAGCTGAGTCTGTGGTTTTCTATGCTTACATCTTTCTTACTTCCATCATTATATCCTATTACCATCCAGATACATTTTGACTTAAACACAATAAAATTAGCCCTGTTTGTTGAGAGGACATCACTGGAATGTTAGTAGCAACAAGGTCCATTTTGCTTTTCAGCAGCCTATTTTCCCTTATCAAGATTACCATGAGGTGATATTTGTAAATGTTTTGAAGAGGTTTTTCTTGTGGTTTTATTTTCACTGCCATAGCTCTCAATAAACATTGTTTTGGAGTATGTTAATATTCTTCTGTTTCATATTGTTTGGAGAATGTAAATATGCTGTAGTGAAAGCAATATTTTTTGAAATTTGAGATAAAATATAAAGCTCAATGTGAGGTTTTTTTTCAGTTTTGAGAACGTCACCATGTAGGCAAAATACAGAGCTTAATCATAAAAAAGTTGATTGATGGTCTTCCTAAGCACCCAATAAGTCTTCTTCATACTATTTTGATGCTCATTTTCTACTTGTCTCTGAAAGATTAAAGTATTTACTATAGATCAATAAATAAGTCATATGCATGTAGACGAGATAAATGTTTTATAAATATATTTTAATATAATTCATAGATATAAAACATGTATGTGTTATATGTACAACCTGCATATATATATATGCATATATACACACACAAGCATATATACTGTTACATATTTTATAATTATGTATCTCTCTCTAAAAATTTTATTAATGCTGCTTTAAAGTTAATCTGATACTGGCTTTAAAATACTGTCTGTAAGTGAGTATTGTTGCTTTGTACAATTCCAAACAGCATTGTATTTCCATTGTGGTTATTATAAAGTTTGGAAATGGGAAATGACACATTTTTAGTATCAACTTTTTTGATGAGAATCTCTTGACCTTTTTTTTTTCCTCACTGTTTCTGCCTCTTCTCCACCTTGCCTTTCAGGTATGAGCACATTCTGATGGCTCCGGACCCGGTACCACTGTATGCTCTGAAACTGTTGGTGACCCTGACTGAGCACAGCCCTGCTTCTGTGAGGTGATAAAACTACACATTCTCTGTTGCTCTGGGTTCTTTCTGTTTCAATTTCTTTTTTCCTGTTAGGAGGTAGCAATAACAGATCTCACGATCATACTACTTTGACTACCACTTTGATTTAGAAAATTCCCAGAGAGTTTTTGTTATAGAACACAATCTTATGTATTTTATGTCAATTTTATACGATCCTGGTTATTTTAACATGAATTTAGCCAATAAAACACTAGAGACAAAATCATAAGAATTTTAACATTAAAATTATCATTAAAATCTAAAAGAAAGAAAACCCCAAAGCATTATCAAAATTTCTGTCTAGCTAAACATATTTGTAGCTAGGACAAAGGGGATGTATTTGTTAAAGGTTTACAAGAGTCGATTAACTTGTAAGCTGGTCAGTTTTTCTGCAAATATAACTACCTTTTCAAAGTTCCTAAATATGGATTTTAACAATTGGTGTTGGTACCCTCAGTATGTTTAAAAGTATCTTAAAATCTTTTCTTCTTGTTCCAAAGTTTACAGTGTGATGGGAAAAAAAAAAAAGTGGCATGGAACTTAAATAGTAATTAGGAAGCATCTCTCTGTCTTGCTGGATATGCCTAGAAAATCTGGTTGTTCTTGCAGTCGCTGTTCTCTGTTTGTGGTGTCTGATGTGTTACAGCCAAGAGTTTACTGAACATTGTACTGTCTTGCTTTGATTGATTTAAATGAGCACAAGATAAAAAAAAACTAAGGAAGGAAATTTAATTTGTTTTCCAACTTTTTATTACAGAAGATGGAACATCCTCTTTTAATCTTTTATGATGTTACTGGGAATGGTGCTTTAATATACTAAGTAGACTACAAATGAACTAGGAAATAGAGAGATTTAAAATATTTTGGATTGTATAGAATAGTTTTTATTGTAAAAAAGCTGTTTATGCTACTGCATGATTTTATGTATTATAGAAACAAATAAAACAGTTATCCATTTTTAGAACTAACCCACAGATATTCTAATACTCTAAGAGTTATAAAGAATATTTCTGTATCTTGAGTGCTGATTATATTAGCAGCACATTTCCTCTCCCCGCTGAATTCTTTTTATTTGAGGAATCATATGTATTTGCCATTATGCTCAACGTAGGTAGATTGTGGGTGCACACTGATCTTCATGGTCATCTGGCAGCAGACAGGAGTTCTTTTCTTAGTATTATTAAAGAGCAACTGTGGACATTCAACAAACTATTAATAATCTTAAATACCAGTATATCTAGTTCTGTCATTTAAGGACCGGCTACCAGATTCCAGATTAGCCATCTGTAATTCTTCTGTTTCTCGCATGTCTTACTGGTCCTCTTCTTTACTTTCACTAAATCATTTGTTTGGCTAGGTTTCTGACGGAGTGCAGGTTATCCTTTGGTCTGTCTTCTTCCTGATTCTTTGCCTTCCCAAAAACTTTTGATGGAAGTAGCCAATGCTACATGACAGAGGTGAATAATATATTCATATTCGTACAAAATGCTAGTGAACAGAGTGGAAACTAGGTACATGCTATAGTGAACACTATATCAAAATTGGTTCTATTTTGGTTTGATGGCTAATTAATCAGTTCTCATGGAGCTCAGAATCACTAAAGGCATATGTTCTCTTTCGCCCCTTTCATTAGACAGATGGAAAATATCTGAAAAAATTGTGATAGGAAGTAAATAAATAACACTGGACACAAATCCTGTGGGATTGAATTTGTTCTTTGTGGAAAAACTCTACTGCATTTTAGTACTGATAAGAGTGATGTAAGTCACTGCACTGAGTCTCTGTAGCTTCTCCAAGCTTACATTTTATCAATACCTGACTTTCAAGGATGGATGCTTTCTGCTGTAACTTTAAATGAATAAAAGTGGTGGTAACAAAACAATTATAAAATGACGAAATGTTAAATTAGTATTTACCTTACAGTTTCCTTGCCTTTCAAAAATATCTGTAATTAACCTTATTTTGAAATAAAGACTGAATTGGGAGGAGGATGAAGACTACTGTACATTTATTTAGTTTGTTCCATATGATAGCTTGTTCTCAGACAGGTTTACCTAACACATTCTCTCTTTCTTGCTTTCTCTTTTTTAATTCCACCAATTTTCTTGTAACTCACGCTTATCATTCTTCTTCCCATCAACTCAGACTTTACCAGTGTGCTTTCTGATAAAGACGTGCAACATTTGAGCAGTTCTTATTTTAGCACTTGAAAGGAGACAGATGCACTCCATTTTTTTGTTGCATTTTTTTCATAGCTGATATTGTAAGTTAGCTAACTTGTAATATCAGAGGAGAGACATTTCATCTTATTTTCACCATTTTCGGACACTTCTGTTTCCTATTACAGGTTGTTTGTTATATATGGCATAGACACAGATATTTAAATACTGTTGTATTTTTGATGGGGTTTATATTATTTTTATATTTTCAAGCTTATGATAAAATATACTAATTACAATACGTATTTTGAATGCCTTTAATTAGCATTTTGTAAGAATACAAAAAATACTTTGTAATCTCTGCCATTCCTCAACTGTGGAGGTAACTTTTAGCATTCTCTATTATGGGAGCCCTTCCTCTCTATTACTTTTCAATTTAGCAGTGGAAAACTCTAGTGATATCCCATTAGTATGCTGCAGAATTAGATCTCTCACAAACATAAATTCTCTTGTGTAAGATGGTAGCTTTAAAAATCCCAACTTTAATGTGTTTCTGTGAATACTTTAAGTGTTTGGACATCTGACCATATGAGTATCCACAGGAAGATAATCCAGTTTTAGAAAAGGATGAGTGTTTTCCTGCCTGTTTTGACCTTAATGGGTTAGAGTATAATTAATTGAGTCAGGTGTTTCCCTTTTTGTACCTGTTTTTACATCATGCAACAATTGCTGTCTGATACAACCTCACTTACAGTTTGTTTAAAAAAAAAAAGTTGTCTCCTGTGTTAATTGCTCTTGGTGGATTGTACTTCTGTGAAGAGTTCTTCAAGGAATAGAACTCACAGTGGAAGCAAATGTCTGCAGCAGGGAGAGATCTGAATTAACTATGCATAGTCTGTTTTCAAAAAGAGCAGTATCATAAAATACTTTGTCCTCTTGCGTGTTTGTCAACTTAATGTTATACAGGTAGATAAGATGTCAGACATAGTCTATTAAGGGTTGGACTTTTTTTCGTTCCTGCTTTGAGTCTTTTATGCTGTTTTCCTGTGGTCTATAATGATCAGATTGCTATTATTTTCTAGTAGTGAGGAGGAGTTGATATCAATTTCTTAGTTTCTCTTAATATGGTATACCAATTAGCTGTTCTTATGTGATTTGACTATTGAAAGGTATTCTATACTATGCTACTGCAGGAAACTTTTACTGGATCACGATTTTTAACTTGCTTTTGGCCTTGCAGATAACCTTCTGAAATGTAGCTGCGTACTCTTTTATGCAACTACTTGGCTTACCTTTTGCTAGCAACTCATACCATTTGATGACATTCATATAGCTGAAAACTAAACCTTCTAACCTATGGAATCTGATTTTTATGGGATGCTAAAATATACATTTTTGGTTGCAGGGAAGGGAGACAGTAAAAGTAATAGAATAGAGGTGAAGGGAATATGAGATATTGCATCAGATAATAAGCATGAGAGTGGTACACATTCCAGTATTCTGTTACTAAGGTAATTTCCTGAGGGAGAAACACTTATCTAAGAACTAATAGTGTGACCCTTCTTAGATTTATGGTGAAGGACAGGGGACCAAATTAAGGAACCTTCCCCACCTCCGGTCCTTAAAATAAATTTCCCAGACAGACATTAGGCACTGCTCTAAAAAAGGGGAAAAAGTGTAACAAAACAAAACAGGAAGGTGTTGAAGAGCAACAACAACAAAAAAATTTCCTGCGTCTAAGTGCTACAGGTCTAGTACCCGTGAAGATGATAGATGGATCACCCTTGTACATAACAGCAGATTGTCTTGACTAATTATAGTTACTTTTTATCATAGTGTCTTTGGAGTCATCCAAGAATGGTCCAATTTTCAACCCGTATCTATGCTACTGTTTGTACCCATGCATTAGATGTTAAAGAACATTAAAGGCAATTTCTGAAATGGTCTATCTAATATCCTTGCCCCCAGTTTCAAAAAACAAACAGTAAAAAAGCCCCTGAAACAAACCCTAAACCGAAACAAACCCTAAACCAAAACAAAGTCTTTGGAGTTGATTTGGTGCTTTTAATTGTTTTGTGTTGGTAGAATTGTGATTCATTTCACAAGCACTTGTTAGCTTTGCACATTGTTTGTCTTTGAACCTGCTGTTGATTTCTTTGCCATTATACTAGAGGACTAGCACTTCAGTGCTTTCCTTGTGAATTGATTAATGTGGGTTTATATTAATTGCTTTAAGAAGACTTTGTTCTTCCCATTAGTCATTTTAATTTCCTAGTTGAAGGTTGAAATACTGACTTTACAAAGTAGATCTATTTGTTTCTAAATTACTTTTCTGGTTTTATATGTTTTCTTGTTTTCTATGACTATGAATAAAATAAAATGGAATAATTCTGATAACAGGTAAGCCTTAGGGCCTAGTCTGACCAAACTGAGCAGTAAAATTAGATGTTAGAGGTGTACAACATTAGTGAGAAAATTACAATGCAGATGGATTGAGAGACTGACAGTGGATGAAGCTGTTTTATTAGGACTTTAGGGAATGTTTATGTAGATTTACAACCTGATTTTGATTACGCTAGTTCACATCTATGAAAATTGAGTTGTAAAAACCCTCATTTTCTTATTAGGGCAGTAATGCTAATATAAAAGAGCAAAGAATTCATATGAACTTTGCTATTCCTATTTTTTGGTGTAATATTTGCATATATGCTGCTTTATCGAATAACACCAGGCAGGAAGACTTGCCCAGAAACAGACTCTTGAAATGTTAAGTTGTGTGTCAGCTAATAACACTGTTGTCAGGTCGCACATCATTGTAATTCATATCAAAGGCAGTGGTCAGAGTTCATTATTGCAAGTGAGTTCTCATAGTCTAGTCATGTACAGACTGTAATACTAATCACCGTTTTTAATGTAAAACACAACTCCTTAGAGTTACATTTTATAAAAGCTCCCCTTTAGTAAAGAAATTAGCTATTAACCTTAAACCTGTAATTTTGTCTTCTCTTTCGTGTTGCTGATCAATTGCTGAATGTCTAAGTTGTAAAAATGTGAAGCTAATATTTGATGTTACTGTTAAGTGAATTTTTGAAAAGCGTCGTATTGGAAGGTTCACATATTTACTCTTTTAATGTGAAGCATTAAAAAGAAGGAGAAAATGCCATTCATTCTTGGTTATTTTTACTTTCAATAGTGAATTTTTACCTTTGGTAATATAAGTAGCAAATAAAAAAATAAGCAGATAATGAGGAAAAGTCAGCTGGTTGGGTGCTACAGTTGGAGCTGCAGACTTGAGTGAATTCAGTTCTGCCATGAATCCTCTGTTCAGCACAAAGCAAATCTGAACCACTGAAAAGTCCATTCTCTTATGTTCAATAGTAGGTGCCCAGAGAAGACTATAGGAAGGAGTCAGGTGAGTGGGAATACTTTCAGGAGGCTTTCTCAGACCCCTGTGAGTTGTTTTTTTTTCAAAAGCCATACAAGAATTTGTGGTATTCTGTAGGTAGTAGCTATTGAGGAGTAATTTTCATTTCATTTATGTGGGTTGAAAGATATATTCGACAAATAACAATAATAGTTAATCTATAGCATAATCGCATGCATATGAAATTTTATCATCTTCAGGTATTTTCTTTGGAATTCTTTGTCTGATCTGGCATTTACCACTTAATTTGATGCCATCATCTTATGGTGGAAAAGAAGCACACTACTTCATAAATTTCTAGAATATTGTCTCCTTTAGCTGTGCCTTTGCAATCTGAACAGTCATGGCTATTTTTTAAGACCCCTTATCAGGTGTCCTTATACATTCTGAAAGCTCAAACATACTGTATCAACCAGCTGACCAAATTCTTCAAAAATTTGTTGTGGATTTGACATTGCATCCCTTTACAATGAATGTCTCGGTTCTTGCTTTGTCCATGTCCACCAGTTCTGTTCTTCAGAATAATTTCTACTCATTTGTTCAGCTTACAGTGTCTGAAATAACCCGTTTTTCACACACCCTCACCCAACTTTTCTCTAAAGCTTATATCTGATAACATCACATTTTCTGTCTTTTAAATTTTTAAGGAATTACACCTGTAACAAAAAACCTTTGGTGTTCAGTGTCCTGCAGTAGGTCTGTGTTTGGAAAAAAGGTAATTTAGGATATCTTAGAAAAGCAGATCTTGCAAATTGTTGGAAAGCAAAATTGGAGGTGTAATCTCATTCTGAAAATTGTTAGTATATTAAAAATTCAGATTGTACTGATAGCAAGTCTTATAAAATCAGATGACCAGTTATTTTGAACCAGTTGTTTATTTATACATAGATTTAAATGAGAACATATTTAGTATTGTTATTTAGTATTATGATTTGCTTATGTGTATTGTGATGATTGTTTCTTTTCCAAACAGAAAAGAATTTATATTTGTTTATATAAAATATAAATTTTCTAAAAGTCTATAAAGAACCAAACTACTTTTAGTTTAAAATATGAACATTCTATGAAATAAATTCCATAGCTAAACTCCTTTTTCACTGGCTTTAGGACATTTCCTTTGTAAAACTATGTAAGATAGCAATGAAGGGTGTGATAATGTCACACTCTCTCTTCAGCACATATATGCAAAGTTGGGATAAATTAGCTTTAAGCTTTGTCTTAATACAATGTTTGAGGTGACTTTATGCTTTAGTTAAATTATGTGTATAATTTTCTTTGGAGGCTGCAGCTATTTTTTGCTTCAGTCATAAAGGTTTGCAGGTGACCTTTAAGAACAGCCATATTAGCTCTAGTTTTGTTTTAGCTTATCTCAGCAGAAAGTAAAGCTGACTTTGTAATGCTGTAACAATCGGGACTGCTTGCAGTTTTTGGAAACAATTCTTTCATAATTTACCCTTTACCACAAAAGCATTTTTCTAGGTTTTTCCTAAAATAGGATTGCTTAGCTATTCTTGGTATTTGATTGTGTTTTACTGCTAATGTGTTCACAGTTTAAATGCTGCTTATGTAGCAAAGTGAGCAGCTTTTGCTGGGGTAAGTAATTCCAATAAGCCCTAAGCACAAGTAGGTTTGTGCTGGCAAAACTTAATTTTGTCAGTACAAATACTGTTACAGTTGTTGCTCTTTTTGGGAGTCTGTGGTGTTTAAATGGCCTTTTTAATGTTCAGTATTGTTATACCCACATCAGCAAAATTCTGTTTTACAGGCATGGCCTAAGCTTTTCATTTAACTCATAGATTTGGCTCTGGTAATGAACCTTAAATATAATAAGTCTTCCTATCTGCAATGCTGGGACTCTCTTATGAACTGGCTGTGTCCAAGGTGCCGTAACTGTCTAGTAGAGAGTTATTAGATTGCCCAGAGGAGAACAGCTTTCATGTTCTCCTGACCTATGGAAGGAACTAGTTTTTTCCACTGCATATGGATTTTTTTTCACTTCAACTTAATAAGAAGAGAAATTGTCCTTAAATTCAAGCTTCTAAGCTTAGAAATAATGAGTTTCTTTCCTTACATAAACTCTTTTCTCTCTGCTGGGTGTAACATTTCTGTATGCAAGAAAAAATAAACACATTTGTGTGAACAAGGCTATTACTTAATTTTGTTAAATGTGTATATATAAGTGCATAAAATGATACTGGTTTATTATGTTTTGAACAATTTAGTGGATGTGTTTTACTCATCTCTAGGTCCACGTACCAGTGGTGTACAGTGCAACAGATCTTCCAACACTAAGCCCCTGCTCCCTCCCCAAACTCATATAGATTCTATATCATAGAATCATTATTACATTTAGGTTAAGACAAGGATCAGAGAAATAGGAAAACAGTAAGAAATAGTAAACCGTTATTCATACATAATGCACACATCTGCATTACTCAGAAGTAATTCTTAGTTCTTCGTAGATATGGTTGTTCTCTTAGTGTGGCTTTTATTCCTTATTGTATTTCCTTTACATGATGTGATTTCAGCAAATGTGAACAACCAGAGCTTGATAGGTGACATTAATCTCAATGAAGCATCTTATTCTTTTATGACCCTTGGATGTTTGTTCTAGCTCCCTATGAATTTTTTCATGAAGTTCATAGAGGAGAATGTTAAATTTCTTTTAGCCGCTTCAATTCACAGTATAGTACTTTAGCTTACCCTATCCAGAAAAATAATACCTTCTCTTTTCTTACTGGACATGAATAAAAACTCTGAAATTGAACTATGTGATTTTAGGAATATGTAAGTTCTTTCTAACAAATAGTTTACCAAACAGAATTAATCTGATTACTGTTGTACCAGAAGCTGGTATAGAGTTTTACATAGTAAGGCTTCAAACATGAAATTCGATGCTCATCTTAATCAAATATAACTCATGTTTCTTCACAGAGAACAATATAATATAACTTTGTGTTTTTAACTGACATACTTCTTGAAAGACAATTTTGTAGTTTGTTGTATGGAGAGATCCCAGACATGCTCTCTGTGTTTGAGTTCTGTGTTTATTACACGACTCATAATACAGTCTTAAGTGTATCACAAAGCTAAACCTACCAGTTGCTTATGAATCACTTCAGTAATGTTATAGTGACACAAGAGAAAATTTTCGAAACATACAATTTGATGTTCTCTGTCATGCTTGGTGAATAGGCATCTAGTATAGTGTATAAGAGGGGGCACAATCATTCTTCAAACTAGACAATATAATACAGTTAAGCATATGTAATCATATGATTCATATGTCATAGCATGTGAGAGACACACATGCTTTACTAATAAGTGTAAAGTGTTTTGTGTTCTAAGAGTAGAAAATACTGCATTAATGTAAAGTATTACTGATTTTTGAGAATATTCTTCTTTCTTATAAGCATATACATGCTGTTTTGTATCTGATTTTGAAATGCAGGAGAATATAGCTAACTTCTGTAGGGCCACCACTGCTCAGCACTGTCAAGAGAGTTGGCTGACAAAAGTATCATATAGAAATATGTTAAACCCAAGAAACTAGTAAAAATAGCATGCTTTAGAAAAACGCAGCATATTTATAATTCTATTATGTGTGCTGAGTCTATTAATTAAGTTAGTTAATGGTGCACTCTGTTTCATAGTATGTATAGTGCTATACTTATGAATTTTTATTAATTTCTGCCATTAAAAAATATTAACTTAATTACTGTTCCACTCACTTGAATCGCATCAGTGAAGCAGACTTGGAAGTAATTTCCAAAACAGCCTGACATTGCTGTTTCTATTTAATATCTGAAGTGGAGCTCATTTTAGTTGAGAGCTAGTCTAAAGCTAAGGTTCTGGGTCATGGATTTTGGAAACAACTATTCTACTACTCTGTTCCTGTTGTGAGTTTAGTGTGTTAAATAAGAATTCTATTCCTCTGTTTTTAAATAAATCTTAAAACATGTTTTTACAGCCTCGTGGAAGAAATCCATCTTTTTCCAGTTCTTTTCCAAGTCATTTTGGTAAGAATAATTTTTAATATATATATTCTAATAGATAGATATAATATCTCTCAAATCATGTCAAACTAGTAAGTTTCATTAGGCATGTTAATAAAATAATAAGACTGATAAAATCAAATGAAACAGTCTATCTAGTTTAAGTGGTCATTTCTGCAGTTCTCACCAACTAATTGAAGTTTCCTAAGGATACTTTTTTAATCCAAAAAACCTCCCGAAAAGTAGAAGAAAAGAGCTTGATCTCTAATTAGAACTATATATTTGCCCAATTGAAGCAAGAAATGCTGAGGAACTTGCATTTTATTAAATAGTATCAAATACAAGTTTGATGGTCTCAATTCCCACTATTTGACTTTGGAATTTCTTTCAATATAACGTATCACATGCGAAATTTCCGTCCCTAAATAGGATCTGCCACTTATAAATGTCAGGAAAACTGTTGATGGTTTTATTTCTCTGATAAGTTGCAAAACAGATATGTTAATGAAGAAGAGAAGTGTTTAGACTGGTTTGGAATCTGGGTACTGTGCTATCCATTAGCCTTCTCATTGCTAAATTCCACAGTCTCTTATTTATTTTTTTAATCTTTGTGTTCATGAAGTCGCATCAGGTAAGTGTCCTGTCATGTAAGCATGCTCCTGATGAATACTAAATATCTGTTATAAATAAATATGCATAATTTATGCAGTGTGGGCATGTTGCATACTTGCTTTTGCATCATTCTTGAAATTCAGTCTTTTTCAGATGATGTTCATAAATGTGATTCTGAATCAACTTTGATATTCCTTTCTTAGGTTTAATTATTTTAATCTTCACTCTTCCTTTGCAGTGATTTATTTCACTGCCTGTCATTTTGAATCTCTTTAATACTGCATACCCAGATAAGCCCTTTTTTATTAAAGTAACTTCTTAAGTGATGATAGATTTTTCCAGCAGCATATGGAACACAAGCTTTATGACATTTTTTGTGCATATATGTACAAATCTCTTCTTGTGACAAATATTCAGAATAACAAACCCCAAGATTTTACAAATGCCAAGATTTTACAGTATTTCATAAATAGTTTTGACCTAGGATGAGTACTACTTTTAGGTAGTAATAAAAGAAGAACATAGTAAAATATGGAAGTCAGATGTGTCATATTAATCCTTAAATATCGAATTAATGTTTGAAATGTCCTTTGGTGCTAGAATCTTGAAATTTAACTTCCAATATATATATGTTAGTCTATAGCTATGAGTATTTGAACGTGGTTATGATCTCTAGAAGTATTCCCAGATATTGAAAAAATTTTTATCATGTATCTGTAGTCATGGAATTTAAAATGCGTGTATGTCATACCATGTAAGTAGGATGAGTTAGAGGCAGTCATAAATGCTCCCTCCTGACCTCCCCACATGCAGTTTGACCTCATGAGTTCTAGAAATAGTATGGGGTTTTTTAGGGAGAAAAAAGCAGTTCAGCTCAAAATTGTCTGCAATTCTGTGAAGGTTTCACAGCTCTCTTGAACCCGTATAGCTCTCTTTGAGCTTATAGTAAAGAGCGGTGAGGGGGAAATCTTGTAGCTTTTAGGGAGAAAAAAATTTCCCCCTTCAATATGCTTTGTTCTGAGAGAACCCCTGAAATTGCTTCGATTGCCGTATGCAGCATTCGAGCTTTAACAGTACTGTGGCTGTCAGCTGTGGTCTTATTTGGCTCAAGGGATGTGAGATATGACACCCTAAACAATAAGGAGGGTGGCAACCTGTTCCCCTGTTTTCCCTACAGAAAAGTAAATTCAGCAAAGGAAGGTTAGGCAATTAGAAAAGCTTGGGAGCCAGGACTAGACAGACTGGAAGAATTAATCATTAGGCTGTTTTCCTCATAAACAGAGTGGATTGAACAGAACAGATTAGCAAACTCCTTCATTACAGGTTTCTGAAATGTTTTTCGTAGTCATATGGATGAAGGGAGTTGCCTATAATTTGCTTCTCATTATTCTCCATAACCTAGTCTTTGTCTAGGTTTGTACTTCTGTTTGTTTCAAGAAACAGTACAAATAGAAATGTTGAACTCTGTACCTAGAATTTTACCAGACCGTGATCTATTGAATTTGAATTATGCTTCAGAGTCAATATACTATTTTATACTGACAGTAAGTTAATGTAGAGGTATTGCTATCAAGTTCAAGGAATATCACTAGTACTGCATGATTCCTATGCCAAGACTGAATATCCAATGTATATTTTCTATGTATCATTAAATATAGTTCATATTATTTGCTGTGATGTGACTCTGTTAGGCTCTGAAGGGAAATATTGTGGGCTCAAAATTTGAAAGTATCTCCAGGAGCAGTCTTTGTTTCTAGGCTACAATCAAAGTGGAATTGAATGTACTAGCTTTAATCTAGCTATCTCAGTAGCAAGGATGTGATGGCTTGCAGATACTGAGCAGTTTACAATAAATAGGTTTTAATAGGACTGCTTTTCCCTGCTCATCAGCGTAGAGTTACACTACCTCTTTTACTCAATGATACTCTATGTTTTGGTCTAAGCAGTAACACTGAGATTTGGCAATTTTTTATTCTCTATCATCTCACTGAACCAGTTAGATCTCTAAATTCAACTAAAGCACATGAAATGTATCCTTTCATAAGATTTATGTTATAGTTGCCAAACAAAAAGAACCGGATTAGTGAAAAAATCTGTTGCTGTCTACCTTAAGAGTTTTCTAAGAGAGTAGCCATTATTTATATAATATATTTATATTTACCTGAGCTAGGTTTTAGTTAGTGATCTAATTAGTAAGAGGCTTTAAATAGAGTTCCAGTTCCCCTGGAAACCCTCAGCACTCATTTATCTCTCAACACTTAGTTGCATTTAGGAAATACGCATTAATGGTGTACTTTGTGAGTATGTGAGGACCTGTATAGAGTTCTTGGTTATAGAATTGCAGAGGGGAATTTCATGTTACACCTGAATGGAAATTAATTTCATTGGTACCATGATCCCAGATCCTAGTGCGAGCAGTTATGTAGATTATGAGTAGTTCTACAAAGCAATATGAAGATATGACTGTAATACGAGTGGACATTGATCTTGCTATAATGTCTAATGTAGGGATGTGTATTTGTGGAAAAAAGGAGATATATTGACAATATACGAGTATTTTCAGGACAGTAAGTGATTGAAAAGCAGAAGGAAGGTTGGTATCATGATGTACAAAAATTAAAAGATGCAAACTCCTCTTGATAACAAGATAAATGAACCAAATTCCATGATTATGTAAATGATGCCAAAAGTTGGGTTGATATAAGATATAAATATAAAATGCTGCTGTTGATGAAGAAAGGATTGTAGCAGAAGTTACTGTGGGATATGTTCCAGGTTTTATTTTCTTGCTGCCTTTTTCTACTACATCCTTAGTATTCTGTTTCTAATATGTTTTACTATGTCAAACCTGTCATCTGTCTGCAGGATCAGTTTATGATATACAAAATATTCTTTTTTATTATTATGTTATAATTCTGGAATGAGGTTAACAAAGGATTTGGAAGTGGTTTACTGCCATATTTGTAAATTATGGTTATTCATATTTTAGATTACTATCAAGATTTTCACATTGCTGAGTAGCAAGCAGTGAAATTGGCATAAATGTTATTCTCTGTGCTATGTTACTTTCTAAGTTAGGGCAATATCATAAATATTACCTGGTCTTCCTTTAGAGTTATCTGATTGTAAGCTGTTGCACAGAAAAGAAATTCTGTGTAGTTCGTGAAATTGTATTTTTCTGCTGATAAGTTTTAAAACTAAAGCTAATGATGCTTGTGATTAGGAGCTCAGTGCTACCCTATTTTTAAAGCTCACTAGTCAATTGTGTGCTTATCCTATTAAAATCTCTGGTGTAGCTTTTAATCACACCAACATGTCACAGACTTCAGTTCTTGCTGTAAAATGGTTTTTTTACAAAGTTCTGTATTTTAATGGCCTGCTAAAATTTAAAGGTATATTGTTTTAATAAAAATTATATTGTAGTAAGATTGAAAGATATTGTATTTATAAATGATATCTTATTAGTAAATACCAGCAATCAATGGTAGATAGTGTCTTAGTATCTAAACTGTAAATATAAAAATATAGTGATTATTTTATTTATATTGCTATTCTGTCCTTAGCACAAAAGAATGGGCAACACATTTCTAACTCTTGCAAGTGTTTGTAAGCCATCCAGGGTGGGTACTTGAAACAACAGAGTAGGAAACTCTTATTCTTATATTCTGTAAGACAGTACAAATATCTGCTGCTGAATGAATTTCTTCTGCTGCTAATGAATTTCACCATTCCTTACTGCTTTTAGGGGAAAGCTGTATTTGTAAGGTATCTGAAATTATATTCTAAGATGAATATTTGTGGCTTCTACAGGATGAGCATTAGTTATAGTTAGGAAACTTAAATGTATCCATAATTAGTATCTCCATGTTTTTTTCTTCTTGTGCACATACTTCCTGAAATTTATATTTAATAGTCAGATTGTATGCTGTGACAGTGTATGTAAACCTGCTGTAACAGATTAGGAATATAATCTATGAAGATTTCTGAAAGTGGAAATGCCAAAATCCTATTTTAATTGGTGGTTTATAAAGCAAAATAATTGCTTTTTTGAAAGAGATTTAATATTCAAAGATGGATTAAGGAGAAACAAGTAAAAAAGTGTTGGAATATCTTAGAATTTATGTATTTGAAATGAAATTGAAATTACGAGATACCATTTAAAGAAAAAAAATGTAATTCAAGTGTAAAATTTGCTATGAGTAGAACACCACCTTAACAATAAGAATGGTTTCAGTCTTTTTCAAACTGACAAATGTCAACACTTAGTAAGGTATTGCATTTATTCTCTTTTTAATGCTAACTCAAATTAATAGGAGTGTTTCTAAAGACCAAAGAAGAAAAGGTAGTAGGGTACAGTATGTTAATTTCCAATTTTCAAGGAATAAAATATGGCTCCTCTGGTAAAAATGTTG